CTTTTCAATGGGGCTTGAATTAGTGGACTTTACCCATAGAGGAAGGAGGGGAATGACTAAGCTAATGTGGGTAACCTCTCCCAGGAAGATGGATGATATACAGGTACATGGGAATACAATACCCATATGCAAGGCCTGGTTCGTGCCAAAAAGCCTCATTGGTTTAGTTTTCGAAGCTGTCACATAAACATTTAACCCCCCCTCCCGCCTCCCCATTGCCTCCTGGTTTTGTGATGTATCAGAATGGCAGAAATTCGCTGGGAGCGACGGGCACGGCCTCTTTTCAGACTAAAGGAACAACTTAATTAGTTTTCAAGGTTTTAAATTTTGAGCATGTTAATCATTCTTGTTTAAATGTCAAGGAATACACGCCAAGCACCCTCTTATTCTGGGGGGCTTATTCCAACTGTAAGTGCAAACGGTGGAAAAACGAGGCGTTTTCTTCAAGTTTACTCTTAGGTGTCTGCATAGTAGTTTAAGTCATGTGGTAGATTGAAACCCCGTAACTAGCACATACTTGTGCCAGTGGGGGCTAGTTTATTCTTGGGTAATTTGCGTAGTAGTTTAGTCACGTGACAGATTGAAACACTGTGACTAGCACCTACTTGTTCAGGTGGGGCTAGTTTCTAACTGTAACTGGAAACGGTGGATACACATGGTGGATAAGTGGCAAGCGTGCCAAGGATGCCAAGCGTGGCAAGTTTGGGGGGCAAGCCTGCCCCCTATTCTATGGCAAAGGTGCCAAACTTGTGTGCTTCATATTAAAGAAAAAAGAAATAAATGGGCGACTTGAAAACTGTGCCCAAGAAACCAAAAACTCTACTGGTTATGCATTGTCAATGTGTCATCGGAGAGTAATGCATGTAATGGTGTTAGGTGGTGTGGATGTTTCTTAAAAAGTGGACAGGCCAAATTACTTTCATATTAATGCATTCATGGGTGTAAAACTGTCAGTGATGTGATCTGTTAAAATCTTTGTTTCAGGGCAAAGCAAAACTGCAAAATCATTTACCATCAGTTGGGGTCTGACTATAGCTCTGAATTCACTTCAGGTGAGACATTATCTACATGTAACTGTCTTTTATTCACGGACCCTTTTTTATGTTTTATAGTTCTTTGTATTGTTAAATGAATTCAATTTTATTTGTCATGTAACCACTTCATAATTCAACCTTTGGGTTGCAATCAGGTGGAAACAAACCTAAATAATAATAATGAAAAAAAAAAACAACTGCTGGTTCAATTTCTGCATAGCACTCATTGCTTAGACAAGAGAATGGGCTGAGCTGACCTTTGATTACCTGTGGGATGGTACACAATCATGCGTAAATAGTGCCCCAAACATGCAAATCAGTGTTTCAGCTGGGGGGGGGGGTAACGTTGCTACACGTAACAACAAAAAGTGTGCCTTTTTGTTCACTTTGAATTCACACTAGCATTCTATATTTTTCTTTTTGCCATACACTACGAAACCATGGCTTTCTTTGTCTCACAATCATCGTTCATCCATTTTTGTGTATTAAGAATTGTGATCCTAGTTGTTCAAACATTTTGAAGGCCAAGCAGGATTTTTCCAGAAGTGTTTACTTTGATAAAATAAAAGTGTATTTGCAAATAAAGATTTTCTATTAATACAACTCATATTAAGCGAACAAGACCAGTAGTAAAACTGCTAAGCCAACTGAAGACATACTCTAGTATTGGGTGACATGAATTTTGTATAATCTCTAACGTGAATCACTTTCCTGAATTGTAAATCCCTGTATCTTATCTTTGCAGACGGTTTGCTTAGTCTCTCTCATCTGGATGTATCGCTATGAGCCATTGCTGGTCCTGAATGAAGACTGGTTTTGGCCGCTGTCATGGTTCATTGCTTTCCCCAGTGGTGTGCCTGGTGCTATTGGGATTACATGCTGGATTCTGATCTGTAACAATGTACTAAAGAGAGGACAGATGATGATCAATGCTGTGTGGATGCCATCAAAGCAAGAGACATGATGAGAGATGTAGGTTAGTTTAATTATAGTGTTGAATAGATCATACAAGCTTAAAGATGTGTTGCTGTGTGAATTTTTCATAATAAAAGTCAGTTAAGACACTTTTTTGGCAACAGAAGACTTTGAATTTCTCTTTCAGTATGAACCATGTGCACACAGCCTTTTAATTGAGATGAATTTTTTTTGCCAAATGTATTTATTTGAAGTAATGTATATGTGTAAATAAGGTAAGTTGTTTTCTTCGTGCGGGATTGCATGTCACACTTAAATATTTAAAAATGTTTTTATAGTGATACGGAAAGAATTGATTTTGGTGAATTTCAAGAATTAAGAAGTCTGTGTTGCCGTTACCTGCCAAGGTAACTGGAAAGATACAGACAATTTGCTCAAAAGAGGGAGAGTCCCAGATCTGAGTTGTCGTTTTGGCTAAATAGTGAATATTTACAGATCGGCTATAAATAAATTCTTGGCAACTGGTGAGAAACAATGTATGTAGCACTGTAAAAGTTACAGGACAAATTGTCAGGTGGAACTTTAAGAAGGTATACATGTATTTTCATTTGAACATACTGAGCCTTGGCAACTTTCAATTTGGCCAGTGAGTCATTTTCTTAAATGTTACACTTGTTTTTGTAGTTATTGATGGAAAACTTACCTAAATATTCCAGCTTACTCTCTTTGCATTCTGAGCCATTTTCATTCAACGACAAAATCACGGTGGCCTTGCCCCAGTTATCTGCTCTCTTGAGACCAACACTTAAAAGGTGTATGAAATGAATCCGTTAATGCCACCAGAGGGCGCGGTTCACTAGAATGTCCTTTTCTTCTTCTTAGTGAATTCTTTCATTACCGGAGAGAGATTCTGCTTGGATCAAAACGTCAGGGCTTCCATATTTCTGATTATGACAAGTGGTGAGAAAATGTAAATATAACATACACTGCAGAACAAATTAGTTATACAGAACTCCATCACAAGTTCTGAGGAAGTTACTGCTAGTGATTGAGAGATGACCTGAGATTTGTTCGCGTTTATAAAAATGTCCGATTTACAGAGCCACCTACATGTAGCCAGTCTACAAAAGAGTGTCTTGTAATCCTGGGCTTCTTACGTGTACCTCTATCTCTTCATGGTTGATTGGGGCGATATGTATTTGGTGTACGTGTAAATTATTAAATCGGAGGTATTCATTGGGGTGAAGCAACGCGACAGTCATGATGCGCATGACATTATGCTCATTATGTATGTACGCTGTAGGCCTAATGACATCGGCATAATAATTGGCGTTGTGTTTTTTGAAGACATGAATGAGCATAAAATGCAGTTGTGTCATTGTCGATAAAATATACATCCAAGTATGTAGTCAGGAGGAGGTAATGTTTGCTATGGCAACAAAAAAATGTTTGCGGGCAGTACATGAAATTCCATTTGAAGCCCATCTTTATGTAATGTTACCATATCATGTATTTGATTTTACATTTAGGCGTGTAAATCGTTCGACGCTGTCGGTTATAACTTTGCTTTCCCCACACAAGGATATGACGGAATTTTTTTAAACCTTTACGGCGCTGCCCTTTAAATCAATATTCTCATTCAAATCTCGTTGTGAGATCACGTGCTTCCCGGGATTTCAACTCTAATTCGAGAGCGTATTCTCCACCGTTCGATTCAAGCCCGACCCAGAGAAGGGAAATCGAGTGAGAAAGAAAAAGAAGGGGAACGAAGAAGACTAGAGATCGATACTCGCTGTTCCGGATATCCGTTTACCGGTGCCGCCAACGAGTCAACATTGACACCGGATGGCGCTGCCTTGGCCAAGTGCGGGGCAACAGGGACCGTGCTCTATCTAGCCGCGCAGTCCCAAGCCCATTAAGTCTTCTCCGCCCGCTCTTTGCGAGTGCTGAAGTTCCGCACTGGAAATTGAATATTAAACACACTTCCGTGTTCACTGACCTAGTATTTTAACATAATGTGGGATTTACACTCGTCACTTTGAGTCCGTTCGTAGCGAACAGATATTTACAGTGTGAAGTTCATCATTGAAGCGCGGCCACAAGGCATTTTTTTTTCATTTGGAAGGTAAATTAAATTTGGAAAGTGAACAGAGTGGATTGGTCATAACGTGTCATTTTCGTTTGGATGTAAGACATTAGTATCTCAGCCTTGTTGCCCTGTAACCAACTTGCACAGGATTTCCGCGGAGGTTGGACTGGCCGTTTCATATCTCGTGAAGTCATGCGATGGGACCCCCACCCCCAAGAAAATGATTCGCATTTAATTGTTGACGTCAATAGTGTCGAAAATGTAACAACTTCACTTGCTAAAAGTAGTACAACACGTTAATTATAGAATACAAATTAGACTCTTACCTCATGGATATCCAACTGTGTCACAGCTCACCCCTGCGAGTAAGTCGGCTGAGGGCGTGTATAGTTTTAGGCATGCGATGTGCTTTGTCTTAGCCAGGGACGTTCGATATGACCCTTCTTTTGTAAAAATGAATTGGAACATGGTTGTTGTGCCTTTGACTCTATGTGAACTGGTCAATTCTTCAGTGCTACTTTGTAAATGGTTTTTCTAGTATAGTCTTCGTAATTACGAGATGTAAATATTTAAATTAGTGAACGTACTCATTGAAGTTGTTTGGGATAGCTTTCCAGCTGTAAGAGCAAATGCACCAATGTTATGATGTGGCGTTAGTAGTGATTCTGTTTTCAAATTTGACCAGATTTCACGCGGCTGGAATTTTTAGACCTGCACTAAGTTTTCATTTTGTCCAAAAACTGAAAGTATGAAAATCATTTTTTCTCATTTTAATCTTGTTTCTCAGAATGAATACTGTTTCATGTATGAACTATTAAATAGAATGCTTACTTGAGAAACAACTGCGCTTAAATCTGAATTCTTGCAGACGATTAATTTCATTCTGGAAAGAGAAATTCCTCGCTGTCACTCTTGTTACAGCGCCCTCTTGTGATATGGCTTTCGTAAGATTAATGCTTATAACCATTCTTTTTACGATAACAGTTAAAGAAATTCTTAAATATTATGATAAGGAGCGCTGTTACTGTCGGTATCAAGGTTACGAAACGTGTCTTTAACGGAAGATATAACTAAAGTTGCATTGGACAAAATTTTGTACATGAACATGTAAGAGCCGCTGCTTTTGTTTGGAAGTTAATTTCCCAACAAACTTAAAGTTACAATAAAATTTAAGCGAAATTAGAGGCAAGGCACATGTGTTGTTTTTGGCAATAATAAGAAGTCGGCAATGAGTTGTGTTCCCACCATATGCAAAGTACTTTTGATGTTTGTGAGCACCGTCTTCTCAGTTTCTAATTCTCCTGTTCATCGGCTTGTTAATGAATGTCCCTGTCACTGTCAATTCAGGTTGTCTTGGTTTGATCGATTCTGTGGTTTCATTATCCTTCACACGGCTGTTTTTGGAAACACCCTCTAGAAATGTGCCCCCAAATAGGATGCGTCGAACTTGAGAGGGTACACGGACTTGTTTTTTGGACATTGAGTAGGAATACATAATTTTACACTATGCAATGCAAGTGTCCGCAATTCTTATGATCTGGTGGATCATGGTACGTGATAATCGATGTTAAATAAGGTTCAAAAGAGAGTCTGGACGCTTTGACAGCTAGCGTTAAATGATTATGCGTACCAGTAGTTCTTATGACCATGAACGATAAGAAATTTATTTAGACAAGGATAGAAAAGTCCTTCACGAGTTCTTGATTTATAAGATTTGCTTTTGCAACACCAGTTCAGTGATCTTTGTCAGAAACTATTTCCTTGCGGTGGTATTGGCATGCGATTCAGGTAAATAATGCTTGTATCCCCAGGTGACAGAGCAGTAACCCGCCGACTTTTACGCAACCTCCCCATAAATACCAGAGGCTTAGTTAGTTATTCAGCCCCAGAAATGCGCGTATTTCTCCGTTGGCCATGGGGGAAATCCTGTCAGAACACGGCATTGTAATCGACGTTCGCATGCCTCTCACGTCCTAGGCTCATTTTTATTAAAGAAATCACTGTGCTCATATTTTCGTCTTTTTTATATCCATGTTTGTGAACGTGCTGCATATTGGACAATGAAAGTGCTTTCAGGTTACAAAGCTAGCGGGGGTTCGATTCAATTTGAGCTGACACGATAGAGTGGGTCGCGTTTGTTCAGTACGGTCTCAGTGGGGTGACTGCAAGCGCACAAGCTTATAATGCCTGGTAATAATGTCGATGCTGGATGTACGGTACGAACAATCTACCTTCAACGCTATCCTAACACGTTTTCCTCTTCCTGAAATGGACATCTAATGTGCAGCCCTGTACTTTGAAGTCTATGTAAAATTGCTTTCTAATTCCATTTGTGTATCTTCATGATGGATGAAAGTAGAAGTTCATCATCTTTGAGATTGCTTTCTGAACTTAACAACAGATGCCGCTGGATCATGAAGCACTAGTAATATTTATAATTTGCTGGGATCTCTTCAGTGGTGAATTTTTAAACATTTTGGTCACGGAAGAAGAAAACTTAGCATGTACCACTACTTCGAAAATGCTTTGGAATTTGGCACTCTGTTGCGGATTGGTTTCTTCTTTGGTAAACACTACCATCAGAAACCGATATTGAACATCTCACAGGAGTTTGTTATTTGCATGTTTTAGCAAATGTTGTGCAACAATACCAAATTCCTTATGAGGTGTCTTCAAAGTATGGAGCTGAGTACAGGTGTTTGTACGTGTCCAGGAGGTTGGTGCAGTTTTACACGCTTCACTTAAAACATCTTGAAAGCAAATTCATCAGATGGGAAATGAACATTTTCCACAGAAGTTTCAAGTTTTTTGACATTGAATATGCACAGAATTCACCATGAGAAACTATTTCCTGAAAACCTTTCAACAACGTGCGATGCATGGAATTCGTGACTGGGTGAATATAACCCTACGAATGCTGTAGACGTGGACGCCCAATAGAAGTCACTCCACGTGCGACCGACAACATCTCAACCTATAACGACACAGATAGGCGGTTGCAGGTGTTCACGCAGTGTGTTCCGCTCAGCTTGCTTGATCAGCCACACCGCCTAGTTGCTATTATGACCAATACCCACCTGCCGATGATCTTTATTTTTCTACTTCGATTGAGTCATATTACCAAGAATACTCAACTGCGTGGAATCAAGACGGTTGTAATTCGGTTTTTAAACAGAGATTGAGAACATAGTTTTCTGGCAATTTAACATGTCTCTGTACACAAGTCGAGGACTGTTTTCCTTTTGAAGTCTTTAGAAACTACTCCTCAATCAATTTCTTTTCTAACGAAGATTGAGACGGTCTTAATGGAAGATTTTGTGGCGTGTAATGTATGACTTTTGTTAACAGCAACCCGGTCGCTTTAGCTGAAGTGACCGACTGCTCTACATTCAGTAGTGGTACTTCACTGTGCGCCAGAAATACTGGTGTGCCTCTCAGTGTCACTTAATTAACATTAGAGTCGGATGCTGGCTGTCGGATGCATTCTTCAAGGTGTCTCATCGTACCATCCTGCCTCCTCATTCTCATGTCGTGAAGCTAGCCACCTGTGTCATCTTTGGGACAGCGGGTGTGGAACAGTAGGGTTTTTGCGAAGATGCCGCCTCAGAAAGACCGTATCGTGAACTTCATTGTTGGCCCCACCCAAGGGGGCCAGAACCATCTGGGGGAGGATGGTGAGGTGCATATGACTGGGGTACGTATTTACACCCCAAAGACCAGCTGTAATCGGCTTACCCGAATCAAGACCATCGCCGTCATTGCTGTGTGCCTTGTAATGGTCCTGACTGCTTGTCTGCTGGTCTCACTAATCGGTCGGCAGAACAATCCTTGTGTTGGTCCTGGGTCTAGATCAAGCGGCAATCAGACTAATACCGATGAGGTATGGGTAACTCCAAAACCTGCGATGACGGGCCTTGAACTGACTACACCAAGTGATGGCAATGTACCCATCAGTAATCCCCTCTGGCAAACATTCCGCCTTCCCACTGCACTAAAACCACTTCATTACGAGTTGGAATTACGCACTGACATTTCGGCGAACACCTTTGCGGGGGCGTTGGCGATACACTTCCTCTGTCACAGTCCGACTCGCTTCATTTTGTTACACAGTTCTGGACTGAACATTGTCTCGATTGAGCTCGATGAAGCTACCTCGGCCCCTGACGGGGAAACTAGAGAGGGCTCGGCACCCAAACTGACGGGCGATCCTGAGTTTTACACTCCCTTTCATTTTATGACACTCACTGTGGATGAACAACTACAGAAGGGCCAAATTTACATCCTCAGAATAAAATATTACTCTGATTTCAGCAACAATCTTGGAGGCCTCTACGTCAGCGAGTATAAAACCAAGCAGGGGAAAGCAAAGTAAGTGTCTGTAGCGATTAGGTAGACTTTCTTTCACATTATTATTTCCAGAAAATGATGACCATTATGAACATGTTTTGACTGTTTGGACAGTGAATATTTTCATTATAAAATTAGGCTCTTTTTAAAAACCCACTCCTATTTTGAATGCCTTATCTATCTTACTGCGCCACGTTTCCCAAGTTTGATAGGATCCCTAGATTTCGGCTTTATTTAATCTTGAAATCCCCCGGGCCTTCATGAAAGGTCCTGTTAACAACGTCCCATGCAATATCGTGGCCTTTAAAACTCCAGGTTTACACCTTTAATTCCCACAGCTGCGCACCATCTTTTGTTGATAGTTATAGAAAAACCCAAAAGAAATTTCAAGAAAAGTGTACCAATGTCTGTGGCCTGATTTAGTTAATGAGAAGCACCGACATGTTCTGAGAAATGGCTAATTAAAAAATCATTGCCAGCAACCATTCTAGGGAGCTTTTTGTCAGTGTCGCTCAATTTACAACCTAGCTTTTATCAATCGATACGGTGAATCTGGATCGCAAAAACACCCATAACATGCAATGTACATGCTTTTGGTGAGAGGCTTTCGACTATTTTACTTGTGTTCCTTTTCACTCGGTGCTGTGTTTCTAGAACTTGATGTTTTTATTCGCTGGTGTGTATACAGCTGACTTGCCAACTGGCGCGTTTGTGAGGAGTCAATAAATCTTGTAATCTTAGTGCCCTTTCCTAATGCACCTTTGTTTGGACTATTTGTGTCTTGTACATCTCCATTCGTTCACCCTTTTGACTTTCGTCTTGTTTCTTCAGCAGTACCTTTTCACAGCCATTCTATTTTATTAGATATTACTCATATAGTCTCTAAACCGTTAGAAGTACTTTGGAGATTTCAGCAGGTATTGAGCAAGAAATGAATATGTGAAAATTAAATTTGCTTAAATATAACTTAAAACTTCATAGCTGTTATTTTTCATATTTGTTTCCTTTGTACCACAACCACTGCTGAAAATGCATTCTTTATTCTCTCACGAAAAACACTCATGTGTGCGGTTGGGTCTTGGGCGAAGGTGCATGATGGAAGCTGCTTACAGAGTTTGATGCAAATTCATGGTTTGAGCATAGAAAGAAGAAGTTGGGATCAAGCAGGATCAAGACATTTCTATGTCTCTCAACACTGGACCTAGAGGCCACAAATTCTAGCTGTTCAAGAAGAGGTTGAATGTAAGAAAGTACGTACTCCATAGGCCTACGAGAAAAGTGTAGACTTCTAGAGGTGGTGAACGCGAGACAACCATCCAGTTTAAAGGAATGTTTGACAGTTATTGGAAAGAAAATGGTTATGGGGCATTAAAAGGCTTAAACCTATAAGCTACACCCAGTGAATGAAAATGAAAGAGATGTCATTTCATTTATCATTTTGTAGAGAGTAGAAAGCTGCGGGAAAGCGTATTTTGCCGTCTTTGAAACCTGGCTTAAGTTAGTCATAGAGCTGGGTTTGTAGCTCTATGAGTTAGTTTAGTACGGCTATCGGTTAAAAAAGAGGGCGGTATTCACTGACAAAACGAGAAAGCGACACGGCCAAACCTAAATAGCGTTTTGGAATTATTTTTCTTCTCGCGTTTCCGATGTGGGTGCTTGTATTTTTTGTACATTTGTCACTAAAATCCAAGGCGCTTGGTTGATAATGTTTTGTAGACATTTCATCAACTACTTTGATGTATGATTGTAATCAGGACAGTGATTCTTGAAACACACTCTTCTAAGACTGCCAAATTTTCTAGTTCCATGAAGGTGCCCAAAGGGATTTCTATAGTCCCTCACGTAGCTATGGCAACAGTGCGGACAACAGCCTGTCATGGTAACCCCAACTCTCCACAATTGTCATGGTGATCAGTTAATCTTTCAGCCGCGCACTTTGGTTCTTTTTTTCGAAATAAAATTCCCCGTGTTGTTGCAAGTTGAAATGTAAATCTCTCAATTTGCCCGAGAACAAAACCTTTCTTCTGCCAGCAAGCCGAGAGAGGACTCTCAAGTTCCGGCCTTCAGATACCCGTGAGTGAAAGAGAATATCGATGTGGGCATCAGGGCTTCTTTCAGACCATTGTTGCTCCTACATCAGAGTGTCTTGCTTCAGAGATGCTCTCCCTGTTTCTTATCACCTTTTGTCCAGGAAGCAAGGGTATCAGTGTCTCGACATATCTCATCTTTTTGTGTCTTTTGTGTGTTGCAAAGATGCCTTTTTCGTGGCGGCATCTTGCAGCAGTGCTTCCGAAGAAACAACGATACGACGGGTTATAGGGAAATACAAGGTGAACGTAACTATGAGTGTGATGGTTCACCATGAAAGAAAACATGGAGTGAACTTCACGTTGGTACTGAAAGTCGTTTGTTGTGAAAAAAATGACTAATACAAACAGCAATGATTTTTATGTCAACTTAAAGGTTCTCGTTCAAGTAATTATTTAGAAATAGTGACATGTCTAAGACAATGTCGGCTTATTGAATGTTCTCAATCTTTCAAGCTTTTTCGTTCAAATAAAATTGGAATACTGATCAATAGCGCTTTCTAATTTTCTTCTTGATCGTGAATGGTATTTAGGAACAAATATTCACAATGGAAAAACTCTGTCAACCTCTTCCAAAGGGAAGGACGTCTGGGCTTTCTGTTAAAGAACGACCTATACCAGTCTGTGTTTTTAGCCTTTATCATGGGAGCAAGGTTAAAGTCAATGTGCCAGGAACCTTTCCACGTCCGTCTTTAACATTTCTTCCAAGGATCAAATAGTCAATTAAAAATTACCACACAAGCTGGAAATTTCGAGTACTGTGTTTATACAAAGGAAAAAGGTAAGAGGAAGAGGGATGACTCAAAGTAAGTTTGTAATTGCTTAATTGACCATAGACTCGAAGATGTTTCTATTAAAAATTTTGATTCCAATCAGAATGACAATGACCTTTACGTGTCTGTAATCAATTTTTTATTTACCTCTAGATGTTCTCCTTTATTTTAGGAAGTACGCTCAGCCTCAAAAAAGGAAGCTTTTAATATTAAAATATTCACTCTGCAGATTTCCGTAGTATATCTATAGTTTATTCCTAAATATTCTACAGATTAGCTGATCAGTTCTTTTACTATCATTTCAGTGTTTAAACTAACGATTGTTGTATTCTCCAATTGTGTGAACTTGTAACATTTTATAGCTGCTGCCGTGACTTAAGCAAAAAGCCGATTCCTTTCTGGTGGTGCACTCTTTGCAAAAATGTCAAATCCATGTAAGACTATCAACGATTAAATACGGAATGGCACATTCATTTCACATCCCAATCTATTTCTAATCAGAAAATAATTGAGTTACCGCCCAAAATCTCCCTCGGGAATGAATGTCTGAGAAGAGTTCTTGAGTTGCTTCCCAATTAAATCCCAGTATTGCTCTCATCCTAGTCTGTAGAGTGCTGGACGCAAATATGCCTTTTCTTGAGGCAGGTCTCGATGGGCCTACTTAAGTCCCTCCACCCGTACTTCATCCCGTGGAATTATCTCTCTGCACTATCCAATCCCTGTGGCCTCCCAAGACCTTTCCGCCCATATTCACTTCTCTTCAAAATCGCAATGCAAGTGTACTTCCCCGGCGTGTGAAAGTTTAGTGGTCTTGCCCCATTCTGTGGGGAGGGGGTGGGTAAGTGGTCACTATCGGTGAGGAACAATTTGAAATTACCAAGTGTATTCAATGCAATGGTTGTTGATTGGGAGGTAAAACCTAACATTGCTGTATGCATGCACCTGATGCGATACGATTCCTGTGATTGTATCTTTACTTTCAACCAACTGGAAGTTTTGTTTGCCTAAGCAAGTCAAAGAGGTTTCCTGGATCAAGTGGTTCGGTAAAATACAAACATCTACACTGCATTAATTGTGACCGGTAATGGCACTGGGCGATGTAGTTTTAAGTCGCACGTAGTGCTTAATTGTTGACTAACGTAACAACCGTAGAAAGCGGAAATTCGGACCCGGTCAACGCCATTTATGTGGGAAGTGATGGCGTGACAAATGTATATTTAATAGCTACGTCTTCAGTTATTATTCAAACGCTTTGCAGGAAACTGTTTACTTTAAAGTTTGTTGTCATGGTAACAATTTAGGATGTATCGACTGAGCATCCACTGGACTTTGAAGCAAATTTGTTAACCTGTAAAATGCTTGTCTAACTATTGTACACATCATTCTTTGAATTCGTTGACATTTGGAAAGTTTATTGGTTTCGTTGTTAATTGGAAGAGGGCTCTGTTCCGACAGTGCTTTTACTGCTGCCAGTGTGTCTTACAGTTCTCCAAATTATAGTCCCCCAAAGTAGGTGTTATCTTGAGGTTTAGGAATGGGTTTCTGCCGGAAAGTCAGAGAGCAGAAAGCATTTGGGGAACGACTTCGTCATCAGTTGTCATAGCAATCTAATAAAGATGTCCCACTAGATGCTTATCCTTCCTGTTGAGATCCTGAGGCAGTTTCTCTGTAGCTTCAGAAACCCATTAAATCGTGATCTTGGGAATTTTTGTTCAGGCTCTTTGTACTCGTCTTAAGGATAAAGACTCAGAGCTGTTTTCAAACGGTTTTCAAACGTCATACTCCTTTACATTTAGATATACACATGCACTAAGTTCGCGAGGAATGGTCGACAAGAAAATTTTCCGACCGAAAATCAACATTAACTATTTCCTTGAACTTTTTAATTAGTTTTAATCTCAAAATAGAAGTGATGAATTAATGATGAATGGGTTCGTGAATTACCATTTCTGTCATCTCGGCCTTTCTGGGCTTGTTTATGAAATGCACTATATACTTTTTGTGAAATTATCAAAGAACAGCTGGTTTCTTTTGTGTGTGAAAATCCCGCGTACATTTGCCACTCACCTTGTCCGCTGCCGGAGTCGAAGTAGTTGCTGAGACTCAAAGACGTTTTGCTGTGAGAAACAAGGCTACGCGTCATATCCCACGAACTCGGCTATGTTGAAAGAGATAACAAAGACCTCTAGCTTAACGCAAACGATTAGTGGTTCAAAACCGAGTAATGGGGAGAATTTGTTAATTCTGATTTCTATTTACATAATTTACCGAAGTTTGAGAACCAAACTTTCCTTTAATGTTCCTAACCAGACACTGATAACATGTAGTTCGACTGCATGAGTTTTGGGCGTGTCGAATGCTACGAAATGCATGTATATGTTGACTCTGAATTAAAGATGATTCATGTAGTTGAGTTGTAGCAATGATTCCAGTAGCTGTGATTGCGGAATATTTCTGTCGGTTATTCACATGCATATCTGAGGGTAAATAGGCCTGCGTCTTTCTGCAAGAGGGTACACGTTAATTTAACAAGTGAAGGAAATGTCCTGCTGGCGAAGCACTAAATTGCGATTGAGTCATTCAGATGTCGGGGAAAATATCAAATATCCTGCAGGACTTTTAAATCATTAAATTCCAAGAACTGTCGATACTGACATCTCGTTGACCGGCGAAATTGAGAGTTGTTCGAGGAAAACTGGGACCTTTTTTCTGAATCGAGGAGCTGTGGTTTTCATTTTTCTTTCACGTTGTACCTGCAGTTTTGAGTTGCGGTTGATTGTGGGCCTGTGGATGTTTTAATGATGAAGACAATGGGACAGCGAAGGCGATGTTTGCTTGCGGTTGTCGGGGGTTTTTTGCTTTATTTATTTATTAATTTTTTGCTTTCTCACAAACAGTCTCTCTGTTTCTTTGTTTCCTGATCTAACTGTTCCTAACAGGACGAAAGTAGTGCAAACATAACGAATCATCTTTTTCAGAGAGTGAGCATAGGCAGATGTTGGCCTATACATAAATTAAAATTTAAAGCTTGGGCGGGGGATGGGAGCCTGAATGTCGAAGGAAAGTGCGCCCTCATGCATAGCCTGCCCTAAAATTACGTCTATGGAACTAGTTGCTCAAACTTCAGACAGAATATGTTGTATCCAGCTCCTTTCGAGAGAAAATTTCACTTTCACCCTTCAAGGCGGGTGCGAAGAATTTTTTTACCAAGCAATAACAAACAATAGATTTGTACAGAACTGATTTGTCGAATAATATTAACCTTCGTCCAAGAGCCAGGATTAACTTTTCATTCCTGTCTTCCAGCTATGGACATGTTTTGACAGCTGACCAAGTGTGGCATTACTGCTTTCCAATGTCCCAGTAATTCGCCGATTAGACATTTTACCTCGTATTTGTTTGAAACATTGAATACTGACTTTTGTTGATCAATGCCCAGGGGTACCGTAAAAGGATTAACACTTGTTATTTTGATGTTAATCTCTACCACGGGGTTTAAGGTGAATACTTACAACAAAGGCAATTTCGCAGAGCACTAGATTGAAATATAAATCAAACAGTTGCATCTGAGGCCAGTGTTTTAGGTCTTGAAAATTGCGTTTTATTAATAACATTCTTCAACAAATGTTCTGAGAATATCACTGTAAACAAAGACCACAAAGCCAACATTTAAGAGTACCGATCTACATGTTGACAAGAGAAGTTGGAGAGTACAACTGATTCAAAATTGCAGTGCGTTTTCGATTTGAGGTGGAACATACCTCCGTCCCCATTTCCTTTAACTGCAGTAACACAAAGGAAACTTCTACAGCTTCATTGGACACGACATTTTGACCCTATTAATTTACACCACTGAAGGGGGTGTTTCTGAATCAAAATTGGGCAGGTGACGGCAAGAAAGAATCCGACATTACAGGTGAAGGCTGGAATTTGTAGAGACTCCGAAGGGGTTGTGGCTGGCCCGAGTTATGTTGATATCAAAACTATACACGCAGCGAAATAATAGCCCATGCATATTTCACGTAGCACCCCCTACTGTGGGCATCGTGTTTTTTATTACACAACTGTCTGGGGATATATCGCATACTTTCCTGTGGAAAAAGTTTTATTGCCAGTCTTGATATGAGACTAGTCTTGACGCCTCGTGGAAGCTCCCCTGTTGACAAGTCGAATTTCTCTCCGAAAGAACATCTTCCAGAGCCTCGATTATAGCCTTTATTCGAGTTTAGTCGATCCAGCGTGTAGCGTAAAAGAAATTGCCTGCGGGCATAAGCGCCTTGCCTTCACCCAAATCAGCGGAGTAGAAGTGACACTCGTAAAATATTAGGTGCGTCTTGGGAAAGCTTCTTACCAACTTGAAGAATGTGGACGAAATTCGGTATTTTTAGATTTGTGTTTGAGGATTTATTGGTTTGAGAACGCGTTGTTTTCCTAATGTAAGTGACCATTTAATCGAAGTGGTGATGCTGTCTCTGTCATCAGTGAGAGATTTCCACTTGACCTGTTTGATTTATTGAAACATTGAGTGAGTGATTTAGCTTTTGAAATGCCTGATCTTGATGGGTGTAATTCCTCAAAACTAAAACCCTCTTTACTGAAGCTTTGTAGCATTATTTCAAGTTAAGTACTTGCTTTATTGTTTTACGGCAACAGTGACGTTGAATCCCTTTCGTAGCGTTTACCTCAATAATTATATAGCGTCCTTGAGTAATCAACAGCAGAATTTCAATTTTACTGGCCGTATTTGTGTCTCCGTTCCTCATTTTCTTGTCAGCAAAACCACAATGCGAGAGATTTTGGAAGCCTACGGGTAGGGAGCCTTTTCAAACATTTTGGTGACAGTTACTTGAGTTGTGAAAACGTTATGTTATAAGTGTGACTGCTTCTCACTGTTGCTAGCGAGCTACATTGTCTAGGTCGCTTTTTAGAAATCCTTGGTGTCATTAGTGCCTACCAGAAATAAATAATAATTATAAGCAATTGTTTTAAATTGAAACTAAGTGTCATAAAACTGGGGTAATCATCATACCATAGAATTTTCAGTGGTGCTGTATTTTCTTTGCCGAAATACTGGTTATTCCACAGTCCAGTTACTTTGAGCTGCGAAGACCTTTCGATCAGAAACGCACTGTACATACCGAGAATTTCTTAACGATTCTGATCCATAAATCAATTTCTTTATGTATGGTATAGTTCCAGAAATATATGAATAATTTAAGTGATGCTTTTGAACTCTGGTTTTCCCCAGGTACATTGTTGCGTCGTTTCTGTCTCCCAACGGTGCCAGGCACGTTTTCCCGTGTTTTGACGAGCCGGCCTTCAAAGCTAACTATACCATTACCATCGTACACCCAGATGGGTACCAAGCTTTGTCTAATATGCCTGAACTACGGCGTGAAGCCAGGGAAGAAGGCTGGAATGCTACCTACTTTCAAACAACTCCTAAGATGTCGACCTATCTAGTGGCGTTCGTCGTATGTGATTTTTGGCGAAAGAGTCGCACTGTCGACAATACAGTGGTACGACCTTTAGTGTCATATTCTTGTTTTCCTCGATAAAAACTTGAAAATAATTAGGAATTTACCACTGTAAGAACTTGGTTAATAATAACCACCTCTTTTAGTAATTTTACAAATTGTTTTATTGGACTCGCACTATAACAAGTCAAAGTCAGTTGATTGCCATTGGCAGTCACAGTTGAAAGTGCATTTTGTTAAGTAATTTGTAGTGTTATCTTACATTGAATTTAACCTGTCAACAGTTCAGCGTTTGGGCAAGAGAAGAGGTTTTCAACGACACAGCTTTTGCCCTGGAGTATGGTACACAAGCATTTCGATTTCTGGAAGCATACAGTGGTTTGGAGTATCCGTTACCGAAAATGGGTAAGTTGATCAGCTTTTTCCTAGACTTAATGATTATCAAAAAGAGGGAAACACACATATATATATAATACAGAAACGTTTCTTTGCATGGCTCTTCGAGGCCTCTAATTCCAGTCAAAAGTTTCCAACAGTTTCAAATGTCAATTGCCTTCAGTGAAACGTACTTCTGATCATAGATAATAATGTTTAATGTTTTTAAAGTTTTTGTTCTCATTGCTCTCTAAGAGAAGGTCTAAGTGCTCAGCTGTGATAATATTATTGAATAGATTTGATTGCTTTACCGGAGACCATATCAGGCGGAATGGAGAACTGGGGATTGTTGATCTTCCGGGAGTCTTACATGCTGCTTAACCCAGATGAAACACCCAGTAAAAAGATACAAGAGGTTGCCACAGTCATTGCTCATGAAATTGCACACCAGGTAAACACGTAAGACAATTTTGCATACGTTGATGCTGAACATGTAACTTGCTTCTCATTTTGTCAAGATTCAAATATCAAAGTTACAATATCCTGATCCTCTCCCTCGGTATTTCACTCATTCAATCATGTACATTTCACTGATGTTATCTGTTTTCCCCTTTCAGTGGTACAGCAACTTGGTAACTCAAGAATACTGGGGCGAACTTTGGTTGAAGGAAAGCTTTGCCAATCTTCTAGCTCATCTTGCTCTGGACCACATTTACCCAAATCAGAAAATGGTAAGCAACTGGCTTGGGAGGAAGTTTCGTCTGCGCGTCATATTTGAATGTGATGCATAATATGCGCAATATGGCTTGCTGATCCTGCTCCTGGACGCTAGTGATCCTGCTTGATCGTTATAAGGGATAGAGTTTAGCTTATATAATAAAAGTATAGGCAGTTGTTCTCACCCCCTTCCAATGACTGTTAGTTTTGGATCATTTAATTAACTACCTGCTTTCTGCTAGATGGACGAATTAAGTTTGGCGGGTGAAGAGTTCCTGCGAGTCATGGAGTTAGACGCGCAACCAACATCGCATGCCGTACAGCCGAACATCGATGACATCAGTGCTATTCTCAACAACTTTGACCTCACAAGTTATTACAAGGTAGTTCTGTTCAAAGTACAAATTGAATTCACGGGTTGAAAAATGAAAACCTAAAAGTGGCAATGAGATTTTCAGAGCCTTTTTCAAGTCTATCTTAACAGTCTCTGACTTGCCTTCAGATGAGATTACCCGGACTTGGAAGGTGTTAACCTGTGACTGACTCCACTGGAGCACTAAATTATGCCGACCCTTCTGTTGTTTGCCAATTCATTTTGTGATTCAATGTTTTGAGGAATCAGATATCTCGTATAACACTACAAATTCGTGTTATTTTGCCTTTCCAGAGTGAAGCAATCGTTCGTATGTTGCGATATGTTCTGGGACAAGACTTGTTTCAAAGTGGACTAACAGTAAGTGAATTTTGGAAGATCTCCGAAGACAAAATCAACCTTTAACGTGACGCAAATAAATTTTGTAAACGAACACGGGAAGAAAATGTTAAAAGAGAAACCTAAGACATTTTTTATAAGACTCTGCTTCCCTTATAACTGTAAAGTATTTCCAACTTTTTATCCTTTTGTTTTCTGTTTTCACCTTCGTATTGCTGTTGACACTGAGTTATCTATTCTTTTCCAACAGAAATTTCTTCAAAAGAGAGCTTATGGTAATGTGAAAGCAACGGATTTATGGGACGCATTATCCGTTGTAAGTTACACTTCGTGTTAGAAATGGACGGTCAGTTGTTCATGCATGATTATATTTATATTATATCTTAATAATTATTATATTTTATCTTAAATACCTCATGGATGTAGAAAATATGGCGCTTTTATTGTAACGTTTATTGACGAAAAGTTTCCTACCCCGAGTCCAACTTTTTTTCAACAGACTCTAAATCATACTGATGCGAGTTTCGACCTTAATATCACCGCCTTCATGAATCCGTGGATTATGCAGATGGGCTATCCAGTCATCACGCTGACACGTGATTATCAAACGAGAATCGTCCAGATTAACCAGGCACCATTTTTCTTGCAGCCAGTCACCACTGAGTGTCTGCCCCCATCTCCTTACGGGTAAGTCTGTCTTGTACTTGCGGAAAAATAAAGCAAGTAAATGCTTAAATACTTCTCTTTATTTTCCCAAACTTCACTGAATAAACTAGACATGCATTTACATTTGTCATTTGTCATGGTGCATAATATGAAATTAGAAATGGTTTAATTTTTTTCTGTTAGGTATCAATGGCAAATACCGATAATGTATTCCTACGAAGACCAAATCACCCAACCAAAGATGTTCATACTTGCTGAAGAATCGGGTACGTTAACATAAATTGGTAACTCAAGATTCAAAATGCTTGCTACGTGACAGTTTAACACGTGAGATTTGGGCGTGATTTTGCATCGTGTTGTCCATATTTGACAAAGTAATCAAGAAATTGAACACTTCTGAATCTTTTCTCTTGTAAATTTCGAAATGCTTGAATTAAAAACTTTTAACAAAATAGTCCGTTGTGATTGACTTTTTCCTCTCTTTAGCCTCTTTAAGTCGATCAGATATTGGACCAGACCAATGGATTGTGGCGAACAGTAAACGAACTGGATTCTTTAGAACGAATTACGATGAAACGAACTGGAACATGATCATAAAACAGCTTCTTGAAAATCATGAGGTACGCTTTAGTTTGAAATTTCGAAAACGTATGGCTGGTTGTTCCCATCTTATCATTGGTCGTACTGTCGTCCTCCTATGTTAAATACCCGATGTAGATATTGTAGTCTATAGGAGGTTTTTTTTCTCATACTGTCGTTCTGTGGCATTTTTGTGATTTTTCCTGCTCATAATTTGCAGTCTTCTTATAAAATACTGCTGCTTAATTAATGAAGAGCTTTCCCCGGAAATTCCTTTTCTGCGTGCTAAAATAAGGCCACGCCTTCTTGATTAAGTTGATTGTGATAATGTAGTCTTTTGCAGTTTTTTTTCTGGCCACGTGTATTTTTCAAAGACTTGAGACAAATATTTCAAATAAGTTACTGCAAGTCTATTCTGAAGGCCACAAACGAAATGATTTCACGTCTGATACCCAAATATTTTTTCAATCAGATATTTTTCCATCAACAATTCAGCGTTCAGACAATGACCAGGCATTACCGGGCATACTTTCGCAGGTAATCAGTGCAGCGGACCGAGCAATGCTGATAGATGACGCATTCCACCTGGCGACCGCTGGTCGTCTTAGTATCACTGTTGCACTGAACCTTACCAGGTACCTGACTAAGGAACGAGAATACGTACCTTGGAAAGTTACCTTAGAAATCCTTGGTTACGTCTCACGAATGCTGAGCTTCACATCTGCGTTTGGAAATCTGAAGGTATTTTCAAGATATTGTGTGTTCTAAAATGTATGTTACTTTTGCATTATTTTGTTAGAAAGCGTGCGTGAATTCTAAATCATCTCATGCAGTGGCGTCGTACGAGGAATTTTACCATTGTCGTGTTTCCAAATAAGGTCGTTTTTTCGGATATGTTTGAGGATCATTTTAACCCCCTTCCCAAAACTCCAGTCTCAGTAACGCACAATGCATGTGTTATAGTTAAACTGCTTGTTATTCCGAAAGATTTTGTATTCATTATTGTTTGTATTTGTAGAAGTATATTTTACAACAGCTACTGCCTGTTTACAAGGAGATCGGCTGGAATGAAACCAACTCTCACCAAGGAAGGTACTGTCTTGAGTAAAAGGTTCAAAGAGTAAGAATTTACTGAATCAAAGACGAAGCAAGATTCAGTACAAAATGTATTTATTGACTTGACTACTGAATGAGTCCGATTGTATAAGGGGAAGTTATTGAGAGCAGTAGTGAATGTTTGGATGGGGTGATGGTTGACAATCGACCTTCTTCTTGAAGCTCAGACTTACTGTCTCGTTTTATCTTTTCCATCAAAGATTATTACAGATGGAGGTTCTTGAAGCACTTTGTTTCTATGGTAACGAGGACTGTGCTTCCATTGCCAAAAATCTTTTCCTGAAACACCTCCAACAAGGGACCAAGTAAGTGATTTCAAAACGAAGTATTTTAAAGAAACGAGTCTTCAAAAACAAAAAAAAACTTAAGCAGGGAGACGCAATGTTACACGAATCCTGTAAGACTGAGAATGATACTGTGTTGATGCAGTTCCAGACTACCCTTTAACAATGCCCTTGCCCGTGTTCGGGAAGCAAGACCTGAAGTTAATTAACGTAAAAGTAGATTTAGATTATGGCTTTATCCTCTTTTAAGCATAGTGTACTTACTGTACTATGAAATAAGGTCTTATTGTCAATAGTGCACTGCAGAATACGTAGACACCATACTCTAAGAATCCATAATTCTCATAAAAACCGAACGAATTTAAATTTTCAATAGCCACCTTTTGGCTGTTTGGATTGAAGTAACACCATGTATACTATAGATTTTTAAAAGCAATTTACTCTTTCTCTGTAGAGTACCACCAAACTTTAGGAATTTTGTGTACTTGATGGGAGTGGCTAATGGTGATGACACGACGAGAGACTATGCATGGCAACAATATCGGAAAGGTTTGCCTGGAGAAAGACAACAGTGGTTAAGGGCTCTGGCTGCAACCAGTGAGCCATGGGTACTTAGCAGGTTGGTTATGGGTCAAGGGTCATACAAAAGCTAACACAGCCCTGCAATATTTTTCTCATGATTCTTTTTTATTCAGATATTCTTTCACATGGGTCTTTCTGGACATGATGAAGTTATCATTTTAAATGATTAACTAATTAAATTTGAATGAATTGAACCAGTTCATTTCATATTTCCATGGTTGCACAACTATCATTTTACATAACATTGTTTTCAAAGTATCCTGGTCGTTCGTGTTTCTGAAGACCCACAGTTTTGTTCTGGATTTGTAATTGTTTTATTAATGTGTATTGTTTTTCACGCTGACTGAATTCTCGTTTAAAGAAATGGTTGTTTCAACAGTTTACAGCAACTTTCTTCGTGATTGCTTCGAACTGACTGAGATGCCTCTCTCCTTGAAATCTTTGAACGTGTAAACTGACACCAATTATTAAGAGACTCTTATCAGGTTTAACCTCCGATGCCACAAACACCACCGCTACGTCAATGAATCTCATTTTTCGAGTGTTCCTTGAAATTTCTTCTGTTACAGCTTGCGTTTTCAAGATATTCACTGTTCGACAGGTTGTCTTTACAAGCTTGCACAATTACTTTCTGAAATCATAATAACAAATCTCCTGTAACTAAACTTGACCCCCAAATCCATTGCACAATTAGCAAACCACAAGCCCACAAAGCAGGAACACGTCTATCCTTTATTTCCACAATTGTTATATAGTGTTTCATTTTGGGAGCCTTCTTTAGTATGAACGTCTTTAATTTGTGAATATTTTTGGCCCCCAATAATTGGCTGACAGCCCCCACAGAAATACACCTGCCTCATAATTTCGACCCTTCCATCGGCTTTAATTAAAGAGAAACCTCCACCCCACAAATACAATGCCCAAAAGTATCAGCACGGTAGCGGCCAGAACTGACACAGTTTTCTTGTAGAGTTGGCACTGCTCTTGCACTGTCAGAAATGCCTCCTTAGGAACGAGACTGCTCACCGTGTCAGTAAACTCATACTCCTGGTTCACTTTAACCTGTATCACACGAAGACAGTTCAAATGACACTGAGTAGCCAAAACGGAGAAAGGATTGTTTTTACAATAATTATCAGCTTGGCCCTTACCTGTCTTGACTTGAGCAGAGCAGCCTCTGTGTATTTCAACCTGTCTGCCAAAGCATCGTTTCGTTCCTTCAGCTCTTCACACTTATGCTTCTCATTCTGTAGCCGTGCCGCAAAATGCACTTCCTGTTGTCTGAATTTGGCGTCAAACTTGGCCTTTTGCTCGCTGACTTTATTTTCAAACGTGATCTCCTGGGCTTTAAATGCTGCGTTAAACGTTGCCTCCTGCTGCTTACACTTCTTGTCGAACATCTCGTGTTGCTCCTTGTACTTTGCGTCGAACACCTGCTTCTGCTTGTTGTATCGTTCGTCGAAGTTTACCTGTTGATCTTTGAATCTGCTTTCAAATGTTGACTCCTGCTTCTGGTGTTTGTTTTCATACAAATCCTTTTTTTCTTTTATCTGGATGTCAAACAACTTTTGCTGCTCTGAATATTTCGCTTCAAACTTTGCCTCTTGCTCTGCCAACTTTGCTTGATATGTCATCTCCTGGTTCTTGTATTTTCTCTGAAACCTTGCCATGTTTTCTGCGTATCTGCCCTCAAACTCTTCCAATTTTTTCAGGATTTCAGCTCTACTCTTCTCAGCAAGGTGAAGCCTTTTAGCCAGGACTCCATTCGTGTTTTCCTGGAGTTCCATCTTGGCTTCGTTTTCTTTGACCTGGTTAGCGATCTGTTCCCTGACTTGTTTTAGTGAGATGTGATCCTTGAGGAGCTTATCCATATTTTTTGCAACTAGGTTGCTTTTATCTTGCATCTCTTTGACTTGTGCTTTATGCTTGGCGATCAATTCATTCATTTGCTCTTCAAATGCTTTGCTCATCTCCTGTCTTTTCTGAGCGTTATCCTCTCTTTCATGATTCAAAACCTTGTACTGGCTGGTCAAAGCGGTAATTTTTTCTTCTGCTTCATGAAGACGGCGGCGATAGACAGCCAGGATGGAGCTGTTTGTCCTAAAGTAGTCTAGCTTGTCTCTGATGAAGGCAGGAAAACGACCGTGTTTCAGCGTCGTATGAAGGGAACTCACGAGCTTGCTGAAAGAATATTAGGGAAAATATGAAATTTATTTGTCTGTGCTATATCCAAATATTGATAAAAGCTTAGTGGTGCCCGCTTCCTCAGAGCCTACAATTTCCATAATTATCGAGTGTTTTGGGGAAAAGGGCATTGGATTTGCTTAATAAGTAGGCCGTACTAGCTTTGATCTACCACCGCTCCAACGTTCATAAATGATAGCGTCCCCATCTGTGAAGATTTTATATTATGCTCTGAAAAACCATAGAGGAAGGACACAGAACCTGCCACGGAGCATGTCTTAATATAATTAATGAGTTTTCTTCGAAGGCTTAATTAGTTTCTTTGAAGAATAATTATTGTGCAAATGTTGCAAATTAATTCCAACTCTGAGACACAAAAGTAAATGGCCATTAGGGTATGATACGAAAGTATTCAAATATAATCTTTTGTTGTCTTACCTTTCTGCCTCGTCTGAAGTGGATTCCATTTCTTCTTTTGCAGTCTTCAGACTAGAAGACAAATATCCCAGGAGCAAAGTCAAGGAAATTATCATGCTATGAATACTGCCGTTATATGGATTTCTTTTATTGACCCCTTGGCAATCAAATAATTTTTTCCTGTTGAAAATAAATTTCTTTGTGCTCTAAAATAGCGTTCTGGAGGGCCGAGGTACGTCCCGTCTGTTGTAAATCCGCTGGTCGTTTGAGGAATATTCTCCTTTGTTTTGTGCCTGTTCTTTTTCTTGTAAGTTCTGCGTCTGCGTGTTTAAACGCTCTCCACACGACGCGGACGCGCATTTAGGGAGATCTCTAATATAGTACCGAAGTGTGACGTCACTGTGAACCAGAAAGTGGTTCACGCGCTGGTTCTCGCGCTCATGCCTTTAACACAGTAATTGTGTGCGTTACGTATTCACTTCGGTACCCTATAGTGTGCATGCTTTTACAGGCTTCGGCCACGCGCGGTGTTTCGCTTGACCTCAGGTTATCTTTTTTTTTAATTTTCATAGGTACATGGAGCGATCCCTGAACGAAAGTCTGGTGAGGCGCCAAGATACTGTTGAAGTGTTCAAGTTTGCCATAAACAATCCCATAGGGGGATATCTAGCCTGGAACTTCTTCCGCCAACATTGGGATATACTGAAGGAAAGGTGCGCTTATTCTCGAAACGCTGTTTTAACTTCGATACACATTATGATGTTCCTGACCTTGTACAGGAATTATCCCGACAACTTATTTATCTCTCTTAAAGCCATATCTCCCTGTGGGTGCTTACTTAAGTACGACTTTTCGGGGGTCTCCCGCCCCTCGTCAGGTGCGAATGCTTGAGAGGCGGAAGACGCCCGAAAAGTCGTACTTAAGTAAGCACCCACAGGGAGATATGGCTTTAAGAGAGATAAATAAGTTGTCTGTTTTAACTGAGAGTGGGTAAACTTTAATAATTTCTATTAAAGTTTGTTTGCTGTCTCGTAGTTGTTTGTGTTGTCCTTGCTATGTCTTCTGTCTTAAGGGCTGTTTATACAAGCCTCTGCTTATTTCACAGCCCCATGCTCTTTTCTTTTCTCATTTGTACATGGACTTACATGTATCTTATCATAAGCTCTAATGTTCTCTTCTCATTAAGCACAAGTAGGCCTATCTATAAAAGTTATTCTCATCCCCATTGCTAATTTCAATGTACTAAGTTTCTTAAATTTCTGATGTATTTTCTTAAGCTTATTTATTTTGTCAATTTCTATGCACCAACTTCTCTTACTTAATGTAATGTTTTTAAAAGAGTATGGAATAAACGTTTTCTTGAATTGAATTGAGTTGAAAAGTTTATCTAATATATATATTTTCTTGTTGCTTTGATTTTTTTAAACAGATACGCTAAAACTTTGTTCCACATGAATCAAATAATTGATGCCGTCACTCAGTGGTTCAACACAGACTTCCATCTGAAAGAGGTAGGTAGTTAATACGCTTGTCTAGTTTCTACCCTCTTTATGAAAATTTCAAATTAGTGACAGCCCTCCGTAAAATGAATTCATTTAATTGATAATCAGTATTTGTGTGTTATTGAGTAGTGGCTATTATTCCATCGGCCATTTTTTTGCAGTTGCAAGATTTTGTGGCCAGTAAAGAGAACGAGCTGGCAGGAAAGGCGGGTTTGAGTAATTTCCGACAAGCCGAAGAGATGACAGAGGTCAACATCCGCTGGATGAAGAATAATTACAAAAACGTCAAGCAGTGGTTAGAGGAGGCTGTTTCCGGTGGTTAATGCATTGTGGGAACACAACCTTGTTTTTCTGTACGAGAATTTGGATTTGAATTTTTTAGAACGTGACCTTCACCACGTTGTACGATGTTCACAGAAGTATGTCTGTTGGAAATAAAATCCAAACAATAATATTCATTAGGTATATTAATGATTCGTGTTTTAGACATAATGACGGCTAAACAGAGTGTTGTTGCTTCTGGTTATCAAAACAAAATTAGCCCAATGGTTAATAAGACTTACTTCATGTATATAGCTGTTTTTTGTCTCCCAATTCACACTTCATGATTGCATATCAATCGCACCAGCCCACGTTATATTTTGAACAGTTTGAGTTATTTGCTACATGTCATTGTTATGATTGTTCATTTCATTTGAAATTGTTCTTGTTAGCACTGTTTGATCATATCTCCTCTTGCCTGTGGTCTGTGCTTAGAGTGATATTGAAAGGTGATAGTGACCTGGTAATGTCAAATGCATCTTCATTGTCACCGATGTAATGTGTTTGTAATAATTGTTGCATGTGTCCTCAGTTTGGGAACATTATCGCAATTGGAGTCTCGTGGTCCTTTAATCGCAGAGTTAAACGAAATCTAACATTTAATGAAGTCTAAAATTATTGCATTGCATCATTCCCGAACTGTATATAATCGTAACAGGTTTTGTGTAAGATGTAATTAGATTTAGTTTTTTACACTTGACAATCGATAAGAGTAGAATTTTCCTCTCTTTATTGGGAAATTTAGATATGAAAAATTATCACTTTGTTTAACATCAAAATCATATCCGATCAGTATTTCATGAGGTATTTGTATAGCTGTAGGGTTAGTAAAGACCACGATTTGATAATTTTGAAATTTATAAGGCAGGAACACTTTTAAGACCTGGTGAGTGTGATAAAAAAACATTGTTTTTTTTCTTCAGATGCTATTGGTAAGTGATCTTTGCTTGGGTATATTCAGTAGAATCGAGATTTGCTTATTTTTTTCATGAAAAATTCCAAGTTTAGGTACCAGTACCTGGTGGTTCTGGTTGAAGGAAGAAAGCCCCAGTTAAGTTGGCGGTGTGCGTTTTGTCATGTAACGCGGCGGGTGGTACTCGCCAGGCACCCTGTCGACTGATTTATGAGGTTACTCGGACTGGGATTCTTCATTTTTGCAAAAAGACGATAATTGAAACGTTCTGAGATCATGTGGTCTCCTTGAGGGGCATACATGTAGTTAGAAAAAAGGCAAATGCGTTGGGTTTTCGTTGTACAAATTTATGCCTGCTACATGGACGCTTAGTAAGACGTGGGAATGCTCTTCGTTACATGATTGGTCCTTTGCACGGATATGTCGAAAGGAAAAATAAAGAATATGAAATGAGCGATGAAAGATGGTTTAGATCTCAGTTAAAATAAAATACCAGACGTTGAATACTGAAGAGGCAAATGTCGATCTTTACTTTGTTGGGGAGATAAACTGGAGGAGAGAGAGCCAGGTACTTGTTGTTTTTCATTGCGATGTCTGAACAGGAGCAGCGAGAGGTGATATTTGACTGAAATATTGCGACTTTGGATACTGGACAGTGTTCTGTTGATATCACGATGAAGTTTTCCTTTTTAATTTATCGGTGTCATGTGTAGTCATGTTTATCTTTACACTGTGGACGAACGTCTCTGGGAGAATTGTAGTTGACTTGAAAAATTGTAGAAGGTGTGTATAAATGGTTTTAATTATTAATTAAAACACATAATTATTGTTAACATACTTGGAACAAACTTAATGTTGTGTTGACCACGTCATGGAGAAAGTGCAGTCACCCCATTTTCGTGTAAATAGAAATCAAGTTTGAGTATTAGAGTTTTTGTCTACCTCTCTGACTGTTGTATTTCACTCTCATCTCAAATACAAGCCATGGACGTGCGTTTATTTTGGAATTCCAGTAATTTTGGACAGCTGCGGACTGACCAATGTAAACTGGACAATCGACAGCAGAGTGCTCTGTGGTCGACTTTTTACCAATGGTTAGGATGTTCCAAATTACCATGATGGGGGTAACTCTTGCTATCTTGCGCATTTTACCGGCTCAAGCAACACCAAAAAGCAAGAAACAACGAGACTTGGCGTAAAAGACATACGCTATTTTAGTAACCTTCCACTCAACAGAGGTTAGAAGTAGATACCACATTGTGTTACACCAAACATTCTAACGGTGTATTTCGAATTGAGCGATCTAAGAACGTTATGAAAGCAGTAATGCTCCACACTTTCCTGGAAATATTTCTTTCCACACTCAAATGAGAAGTTATTTAGAGGTATATATACAGTGAAAGAAATTAGTTTTGATGATAACAATCGTAATTTTAGTTATTTCTATTGTTTGAGGACCAAATGATTTTTTTTTTCATTTTATGTTGAGAAGTAATGCATCATAAATCCTCTATTGGTAAAGATTCACTGTTCCCGAGTAATACCATTTATATTCTAAAGTACCATGGTCATTATTTTTGAGCAAATGTGACAATAATTATTATTAATTCCGAATTAATTGCTGCTTTATATTACAATTAATAATGTCTGTATACAAGTAAAGAGGAATTAAAGTACAGAGTCGTACCGTTCACAGTTTAAATGTGACGTGGTTTGTTAGTAATATTTTCATGTATAGTGATCAATGGGCAAAGTCCGATTTTTTTTTTTAGATAAATGTACTGCTATCGTTGATGAGCAATAATTACCTGTCTGCTTTTCAGAAGACTGCTGGACACTGAACAGATTTTCTTGTGGAATGTGCTGATTCATGTATGTATTTTATCATTTGATTCGCAAGATTCTAGTTTAAGACTGCGAAACCTCGTTGGAAACCATAAAACACAGTAAAGGTGAGTTATTTACGAGAGGTCATTTAAGATCACAGCATGTTTGTTATTTTGTTGGCTGGGTGCTGGTTACTAGCAAAAACTTCGGTGCGTTGCTCGCCCGTCGCATACCCACTATGGTCAATGTTTGCTGCCGTGGAAGTAAGGTGTATGATGGAACTCTCCGACTAAGTGTTTTCTGATTTCTACAATTTATTCAAGTCCAGTAAAGGCTATCTCAGTGGCATGTCAGGCCTGTTTTGTGCAGTGACATCTTGCTGAAGACCTAGTTGGTTCGTTTTACTGACAGTAAGCCTGTTCTGAATGATAAACGGTAAGCACTGACACATTGCACATTGCATACAGCTTCAACAGGTTTAGTTTGCCGCCCCACTTCCGAAGCATTTGGCCAGGTGAAGATTTGATTTTTTTGATACTGCATAATTTTCCAAACATCAGCTTTACTGATGATAGGTGTCAAAACTTATGGCCAAAGATCGTTCTAGCTGTTCATACTTCAGTGCAATGGAAAAATTGCATACAATGAAACCTCTGCTAACGCAAGTTGGAAAACCGTCTAGTAACCTAAATGTGCCTTTAGATTGATTGCCTATAGTGCCTTATAAATACGCTGACCTGTGAATATTTTAATCTATATTTGAGACCCTTTAAGGTATATAATGGTAACCATGAAGTCCACTTCACTCCTTTTTTAAGAAATGAATGGTTAGTTGTGGAGGTTTGCGGTAGCACCATGCAAGGATAATTCTCTCTGTTATGAGTATGTGTGGTCCTGAAAAGAACCAGAAGACACTCAGCATTTTGGACAGTATGCTCTGTCCGTCGTCAGGAGACTGCCAAGTCTTGCATGGTGTTCATAATCCTCTACAACTAACTTGCTACCTTCACTGTGACGTTTCGAAGCTCAAATGGAGAATAATTGTTCTCCAAAAATCAGTTAAGTTTGCGGCCATTTCATGACCTTTCAGTGCTGTTTATATTTCCTTTTCACTAATTGCACACAAGTGTCATCTTTCAACCAGCATGGCCGATGTCTCGGTAAAGAAACAGTCGGTGATTTTTCTGTATTGGACGATCTTGCTTATATATGTGTCATTTGGACTTTCTTGTGGAATGCTACTCAATTATGAAAAGAGGTAAGTTTTTTTCATGACACAAATCGTATTTACAGGCATGAGCCTCAAGAAATCCAATATGCAAATTTCAAACTCGTTATGCACTGTATAATTTGTTCTTCCTGTCCAATTCGAATGTTTAACAAAACAAACTACAGTTGTAAGCAGCAGATCCAGAAGGGGTCAGGGGTCAACCACCACCCCCACTCTCCTCATTGCCATTTGGGGGCTACGTCTAAAGGATGGAAGGACAAAAAAGTATAAACCACTCAGGGGTCTTAATTACGTGTATAGTTAGCACAAACATAGAGATTAAAAGTATTAAGCCAATGGCGACAACGACTTTATTTCCCCAGGAGTGTTGAAACGAGTCACTAAATTTGGTGACTGTCGAGTCTGAGTCAAGTCATTTCATTGTGACTCTTTTCGAGTCGAGTCGAGTCATTAGGTCAAGAAGTCGGAGTCGCTTTGTGTAGTCGACTCGAGTAGAGTTGAGTAAGGTACCGAGTTCGAGTCAATTTGAGTCACTCATTTTTGAACAAGAAGTACAATAAAAACACAACTACATGTAAGTTCTTTTTTGGTGTTTTTATTGTCATTTAGGTATACTGAAAATAAACCAGAGTGACGGATATCTAGCCAACTAAAATTTGGCTTTTACTTTTTTTGAGACTTATAGGCTTGTACTCGAGTCGAGTCACCAAAATTGTGACTCGAGTTGGACTCGAGTCGAGTCTTGGATTCGAGTCGAGTCATTGACTCGAGTCATTACAACTCTCTTATTTCCCAAACCACCCATCCTCATAAAGTTGCTCAAACCGTCAACTTAATGATAAATTTGTCACATTTTAGCAACTTGAATTTAAAACCTCGAATTCCATGAAAGGAAGATTGCATTGGAATCTTGATTTGGTTTTATAGGAATTAAATCCATCTGCTGGTGTCTGAAATTTATGAAAAAGTCAGTTTTTTGTCAGTTTTTAGTACAATCATCGCTTGATCGCTTTTAGTATTGCACATTTTACATGTTTCCACAGAGATGCCGATTTCGTCAAACAGCAGTGGGAATACATTCGCCTTCCAGAGACTATAAGACCCATCTCATACGATCTCATGGTCAGAACTGATCTCACTTACTCCCATTTCACCGGTTCTGTTGGTGTCTTGGTGGAATGCCTAGAAGCCACCGACCTCATACTGATTCACAGTAAGGACTTAGTCATCACAGAAGGGAAGACAACCTTAACGCGGCAGGGTAACGGGGCTGATGCCCCCAAATTGGCTAAAGATACCTGGCTGTATGCCATCAACCAGTTCGCTGTAATCGAGCTGAACGGCAAGCTGGAGAAAGGAGCACGATACAGGCTGTACCTGGAGTTTGAGGGACCGTTGAAGAATGATCTACTGGGTTATTACAAGATGTCGTACAAGACAGCCTCCAGAGAAGAAAAGTAAGAACCACCCTTTTCTTGTACTAAAAGCCAAATCTCCACCATAAATTACTTTGACTAGTGCACCAGAATGCAATCTTGCGAAAGAAAGAATTGTCACGGGCAAGAGAATGAGATTCACAATTCTGATCAACAACAGGTTCTGAGAATTTGATCTTCATTTCCCCTCATTTTAATTAGGCTGGAGCCTCAAATTTTGAAACCACGTTTTCATTAACAGATACTTGGCAAGTACGTTCTTCGATCCTGTTGATGCCCGTAAGGCCTTTCCATGTTTTGACGAGCCAAATCTCAAAGCTACATTCAGCATCACCTTGGAACATCAGCCTCAGTACCACGCCCTCTCCAACATGCCCAAAAGTCGTCCAGATGAAATCCTTGAAGATGGCTGGATCCGAGCAACGTTTGAGGAAACTGTCGTTATGCCAACATACATTGTGTGCTACGCTATCAGCGAGTTCAGGGCCAAGTTTAAATACACGTCTAACGGCGTGCGGGTGAGTTTTGCCAGTGTGAGATTACTGAATTATGACTTTGTGTGTGGGATGCTTCATAGTTACAGGGGGCAGTATTTTTACCTAAATTCGGAGACTTAAGTTAAAGGTAACATACTGTTGTGCATGTTCTTTTGTTTTAGTTTGGCGTATGGGCCCGTGAAGATGTCATCGATCAAGTTGACTATGCGCTCGACAAGGGGGTAGCCATATTGGAACACTTTGATCTGTTGTATGGACAAGAGAATAAATACTCCTTGCCTAAACTGGGTAAGGCCTCAGTTGAGGGAAACAGTAGAGTAAAAATACTTCAAAACTTCAACAAAGCCTTTCTGCGGTGGGGGTGGAGCGGCGATAATATTTAGTGTTGAATAAGTTAGACTTGCGGTTGCACCATGTAGTATGAGTGTCACGGTGGTTCTGGGAAGAACCGATATCGATGGTGAACACTCGACGTTCCGAACAGTTTACTCTGTTTGTCTTCAAGAAGGTGACACCAGTACCTTCCAATGGGAACATGATTTATTGCAAGTCTAGAAAGGAGACTTGCGTTGTAGGAAAACTTAGAGCCATTGAGCTCTGTGGTGAAAATGAAAAGCGCCCCCCTTGTGCCCTATTTGCTTTACAAGTTTTAGTTTACACACAAGGCATGCAGTACAGTGCGTGTATATGCATACATACATTGTACATGTACATACATGTACATGTACATGTGCACGTGTTGTTTAGTTCTGCACAGCTAGCTAGCAATCGTCGGGGCTTTCTCCTGAACGTTTCTTCTTCAGTGGCAACAGATTCGCTAAATCCATATATAGTCATGTATACTTCTATGACGTACGTAAGCTTTTCGGTTATCGGGATCAGGATTCGAATGAAATGAATCTGATCAGTTCTGCAATTTTAATTTGTTCGGGGCTAGAACTAAATGTAACTAATGTAACGTACATCTACGATAGGCTTCCTATATTATCTCGAGAGCCTCGAGAAACCTGTAACGTTAGAGGGGCAGTGAGAAACATTCCCAGTTTTTGAGTAGCCCCACCAGTGTGGCACGGACCCTCAGTCCTACTCCATCTTAGAGTGAGGGTCCGTGCCACACTAGTAGTGGGGCTAGTAAGTTTTCGGGAGGAAGACCACATAATATTATTCTGTCAGGATAAAACCTTGAATCAGCAGAATTAATTGGCTAATCATGCAAAAAAATTCAAGATTTACAGATCTGACAAAGATAGAGTGATTGTGCAGATTGACTATGAGTCAACATATATGGGCTGGAAGATACTATATTTGAGAAGAACTTATATATCCCCAAGTTGTACTGCTATTTGCTATGATACATGTACGCACACTTTTATGTACGTACACTTTCTAAATTTATCAGCCTGCCATTAAACAATTGAACATTTGTTTGGCCTGGATATTAAATACCGGTAGTATAGGCCCTATGCAATATGTTTCTCGGAGTTTGGTAGTTCGAAAAAATTTTAATGTGAGCCTGAACAGTTCCCAAGAATGTACAAAAGTTAATGGATGTCATATCTGTCTCTTAGATATGATAGCCCTGCCAGACTTCATGATATCTGCCATGGAGAACTGGGGCCTGAACACGTACAAGGAGAAAACTGTTTTATACAAGGAGGGAGAAACATCAGAAAAACAGAAACAACGGATTTTGACCCTTATCTCGCATGAGTTAGCTCATCAGGTACAGTAAAAAATAAAGAACGGGCCAATTCAGCCCAGTAAACCGGAGTAGCAAAATTATGTGGTTTTTGACGGCATTTTGGAGAGTTTGAGAAAATGTGTAATCCTTGCAATGTTTAAATACTAATTGTTTCCTGTATGGGATTTTCTTGTGAAATGTAATCATATTATATACACATTAATTAATTTGTCTATTCTAACAGTGGTTTGGAAATTTGGTGACAACAAAATGGTGGAACTCCATTTGGTTGAATGAAGGCTTTGCAAGCTATATTGAGTACATTGGAGCCAATGCTGTTGAACCAGACTGGCAAATGGTAGGAACAATTTAGCAGAGGTCTTTAGTAAAGCAGGAAATTGACAATTTTTGTCAAACTTGATCAGTGTTGTTATATCTGTAAGGTTTCTTTTTTAATGATGTATTGTACACAACCTTTGCTTTCTGTTTCTTTGTCAGATGTTGTTTTCTACTTCCACGTTCAAAGCTCTTATCAGAGATGACTTATAACTTCCAAATTTACGGCTTTATGATATATGCGCTTTAATATTCACACTGATTCTTGATTGCAGTGGGACAAGTTTATCTTGTATGACCTTCATCCTGCCATGGCAACAGATGAATTGGTTACTTCTAGGCCAATAATCACTGATGCCCTAACACCCTCAGAGAACATCATGATGTTTGATAAAATCACATACCTGAAGGTATTTACCCCTTCACTAGCATTAATGGGGACACTATGCTTAACTGGATGTAATATTGAAACATTTCTGTTGTGTGCTCAGTGCTTGGATGTGTACGTGGATTTGTGCTCATTGTCTGGAGAGTTTGCCACATCAAAGACTCGGTCATACCAGAGAGGAATTTATCACATTCGTCCACTAAATATTGTATGCATGTTTGAGAAATTGACTTTAATATTAAACATTAACATCTAATCTATCAATTGAAGGTAATGATATTATCAGAATAGTTCTGTTTTTCAAAATGTCTTAGGGTTCCTGTATTCTGCGTTTGATGAACCATTTCTTAGGAGAGCCGACATTTACAAAGGGACTTCAGGTATGTACAACTAACTGAAATGCACCTGCTAAAAATAATGTACAAATGAAACACACATATCTCCTCCCAACTTTTTTTGCATCATCACTTTAAGCTGTCTGAATCTTGTACATATTCTGTACCGATAAGTGGGATTTTAGCCCCGCACAGTTGATCCAGTTATTAGGGATGTAACACTTTGACCATGTCAGAAATTTGAAATCTTCTTTGCGTGTCTTTTTCAGTACTACCTGAGCGCTTTGCAGTATAGTAATGCAGGAAACAGTGACCTGTGGTTTTATCTGGACAAGGTATGAACTTGTATCATTAAAAAGACCTAAGTAGCTATTGTGGGAGAGAGGACATCAGTTACGGTGAATTTAATTGTCCTGATATGTGACCATAGGGCTTATGAAGGTTTAATTGGATTAAAAAAAGATGAATGGATTAAAATAAATCTGGACCAGACTTGAAGTTTACCCAGAAAACTGTGATTTCCGACTCGCTCTATTAATGGTTATTCAGTAATTGTTTTGCCTACAACTAACCTTAAAAAACTCTTACAAAATTCACTAGTTAATTAGCCAAGAGATGTAGGGTTTGTAGGCTGAAGAATTTAAAGGTAGAAACACTGCAAGATTTTTAAGGTTTGCTCGCCATGGCTGCAGTGAGTTCTATGTGTAATAGTGCAAGCATGTCATTTTCCTCATGGATTTCTGAAGGCAGTGAAGGAAGACAACATAGATCTTGGTGAAGAGCTAAATGTAGCAACCATTATGGACACCTGGACACTTCAGATGGGCTTTCCGTTCATCAAAGTTGAGAGAACATACAATGGTGCCCGCCAAATCACAGCTAGAGTAGAGCAGCAACGTTTCCTATCGGATCCCGATTCAGACCCATCAACAGACCACCCAGATTTGGGGTTAGTGATTTGTGTCATTTTTGTGTTATTACAGATAATGGCTTACATAATTACTTCATTACTGTATACTAGTGGCATATACATGTATGCCAGGTGATTGCCATAGTTGCAGAATAAAGCCACTTTGATATGCGCAAAAATTTGATATTTATGTCCAAAACCTCTTAATTGTAGTGTGTGATACAGTTTTTAGTTTTAATATCTAATTTCAATTGAAAGTACTGTCTCCCTGTCCAGTTTAGATGGCAGATAGGGTTAAATCTGTGATACGTACATGTACCTGACCTCCTGATATTATTTCATGTACAGTTACAAGTGGTATGTACCAGTGACGTACACCACTGCAAGCAGCCCAGACTTTGATTCACCGAGAAGCATGTGGCTGAAACCACAAGATGAGTTTGGTAAGTACATGTATTGATGTAAAAGGATTGAAGGATTTTTCTGTCACACGAATGACTGAACTGGCTGAGGACTATTAGGATAGTTTCAAGAATTTGTTGGAGAGGTAATGATCTCTGAGGTAATGTCTGTGGCTATAAAATGTGTCCTTTGGTGTTTCAAATTTTCAATTTGTTTTTGATCATGACAGGTACCTTGCAGCTTTCAGGTGGCAGTGATGATGACTGGTTGTTGGTGAACATCAACCAGAGAGGAATGTATCGTGTCAACTATGATGACAAGAACTGGCAGTTGATTAAGATGCAGCTAAAGACCCATCACTTGGTAAAACATGTTAATTTTGTTTTGTGATAAGATATGTCGCATGCAATAATGCAGCAATAATTGTTAAGCCAGGGAGGGACGGGTGGTTGAAGGAGAGGTCGAAGTCTGCCCGCAAAGTTACTTGAATTGGTAAAATAAGTAAATATTGTTTTGTGATAGAATATGTCTCATGTAGGAAAGCGGCAATGATTGTTAAGCCAGGGAGGGACTGGAGGTTGAATGAGACGTTGAAGTCTCCCACAAAGTTGCTTAAATTTGATAAAAGCATGTTATACTAAAGCTTTGGTAGTACAAGTTTGTAGAAATTCAAAAGATGTTGTCTGGCTTATATTGATCTCTCTAGTAGCAAGGAACAAGTAGCCCCTGTCAAAGACCCTAGATCATCCTTTACCGAGGTGGCTTTTTTGTTTGTCCAAACATGTTTCATAAGATGATTCCAAGTGCCAGCCGAGCTGCTCTCATTAGTGATGTCTTTAGCCTTGCAAGGGCCGGAGAGGTCAGCCACCCTACTGCTTTAGATATGACCAGCTACTTGAAAGGAGAAAGAGACTATGTGCCCTGGTATGCTGTGGATCATGCTGTAGCATTCATCAAGAGAAATATCAGAAGGAGAGGAGCCTACAACAACTTTAAGGTAATGTTTTCTTGTTCTTAAATTTTTCCTGGGCATATTTATTCCTCAATAATTGAGATGTTTCTTGTTACTGTCACAGTGAAAAGTGAACTTCCTTCAAGTTTTGGAGCTCTGTTTTGGAGAATGTGTGAGGGTTAATGTGTTCAAAGATCCAGTCGCTTGGGCAATAACCCAGCTTTGAAACATTTTGACTATTAGTTTTCTCCACTTTCTTTATAGAAATACATGCTAAATCACATAACTCCGATGTACGAGTATACTGGATGGAACGATGAAGGGGACCATCTGAAAAGGTTGGTACAGCATTATGTAATTGTCATGACTACTGTTTAGATTCAATACTTTGTGTGGTATCCCCAAATTGAGTCATACAACATTAGTTTGCTGAAAATTTGGATTCCTTTTCTTCAGGTTGAGCCGTGGACTTGCCATCAGTATGGCATGTGGCTATGGAAATCTTGATTGTCAACAGACATCAGTGAACCTGTATGCGGAATGGATGGCCAACAAGGACCACAGCTTGTGAGTGATGCTTTTTATAAGAAATTTGATCACTTGTTAAGAATAGTCTTTAAAATCACATCTGATGGTACATGGCCAAAAAAGATATGGATTCAATTTTTTTAATGAGATGCTAAGTGTTTTGCAAAATACACCCACTTTGAAACCATGTCTTGATATGCAGGGTGAGTTTAATTTTGTAAACATAAAACCTATTTCTACGTTCAAAAGAAATTCTGTTATTTTTTCTTGTAGTATTCATCCAGATGTACAAGCCACAGTGTTCTGTACAGCCATTGCACAAGGAGGCAAAGATGAGTGGTTCTTTGCTTTTGAACATTACCAGAACCCCAATACTAGTACCTCCATGAAGTCAACACTGCAGACAGCTCTGGCATGCAGCGATAAACCATGGATTCTTAGAACGTAAGTGTGGCAAAGGATCCATTTAATATCTGGCGAATTATTGACAATAGATGAATTTTGATTGAAGGGGAAGAATCATCTTTTTTTATATTTGTTTGATTTATATGTCTATATTCTGAACTTGCAGTTATCTGGATAGCATCTTGAACAGCAGCATCATTAGAATACAAGATGGAGCAGCTGTGTTACAAGCAGTTGCTGGAAATCCTGTGGGTTTGCCTCTGGCTTGGGACTTCTTCCAAGCAAACTGGGACTTCTTGAGAGCTTCGTAAGTCCATAGCCTGTAGCCAACTGCTTTTTCATTTTTAATACTTTCTCATCCTTTGTGCAAATCCTCAAACTTTGAGGGTTTACATATTATGTACCAATTGACACTGGCTAATATTCTCTCTGAATTGTTTGACCTAATTGAAGTTATCCAATGATCTTTGGTTGTCACCTGACTTCTTGGTCATCTTTTGACTCTGTGTCATCAGCCATTGTATTTGAGGCTTTAGTTTGCCTACAACCATATTTGATGTCCATCATTTGACCCTGGGCCAGTTCATCATGTGACCCTGTTGGGATTCATTGTTTGACCTCACTGTTATTTGACAGCCAGTTGACCCTGGGCGGTCCAGTTCATCATGTGACCCTGCGGGGGTTCCTTGTTTGACCTCTGTTATTTGACGGCCTTGATATCTTTTGATTTAAGACCAGACTCTAACAATAGCTTCATCTCTCATTTCAGGTATGGTGACACAGTGTTTGTGCTTGATTCACTGATTAGCAAACTTACATTTGGCTTCAACACTGAATTTGAACTGCAAATGGTAATTATATGTTTTGGTCTGAAGTTAGTGATACATGGATTTATAGTCAGAGTAAATTGTGGGCGTATGGTAATGCTTCCCTGTAATTAGATGTCAGGACATGAAATAAATCCGTCCAAATGAGGCTGACTACTCCAAGATTGAATGACATGATGATTTCAATGAATGTGCCAGTTTTTAGTCATCATGTACTGCAGAGGGGTCCTTTAGTTTTCCAACTTTGTACTGCAGTGTGCTGAAGTCTGAAGGGTTTCTACTCTTCGATATAGATTCAGATAGAAACTGTCAAACCATTTTTGTTTGTTATAGGTGAAGCAGTTTATTGCAGACCACTTAGACTTAGGTTCTGGTGCACGTGTGTTTACTGAAGCCGTAGCTGTTATTGAGTCAAATATAAGATGGATTGATCAATACTACAAAGAGGTAGCAGGTTGGCTAAAGGAAGCTGTGTAAGTAATAACGCTCTGGTTGTTTTGCATCCCCAGATAGCCCACAGACTAAACTGACTGGCATCAGATTATATTAATCTCCTGCAATCACCATCCTCAAATTATACTAACTTGTGGACTTCCCTTGCCTTTGGTTTATTTGTCTTACACAAGATCATTCATGTTTGATTAATAAATTGTGCAAGTAGAAATCAAAATGATGAAGGTGTTTTTTGCAGAAGTTTTATTACAAAAATTTTTGAAAGGGTTTCTCGTATGAGTTTTGCTTGCTATAAATCAAGTTGTAGTTCCCATTGCCTTATACAAATACTATTATCTATAATCTGAATGATTTGTTTGTCATAGCATGGACCCCTGGGAGAGGATTCGCCTTCCAGATGCCGTCTTGCCCATCTCATATGACCTCAAGGTCCGAACAGACCTGACCAATTTTGTCTTCAATGGCTCTGTAAACATCTTAATGGAATGCTCTGAAATGACCGATGTCATTCTTATACATAGTCGAGACTTAACTATCCTAACTGATACAACTACCCTCAAACGTGAGGATGGTGAAACAGCTCCAGGATTCAAGATTCCTCCGTGGCTGTATCAGTACCAAGATTTCCTTGTGATTGAGCTGGATTCACTCCTTGAAGTTGGAATCAAATACCGGCTACACGTTGAGTTTAATGGCACCCTGGCAGATGACTGGAGTGGTTATTACTGGGATAGCTATACCTTGAAATCAAATGAGACAAGGTGAAGTCCGAAAAATATCGAAGTTGTATGTTTCTTGGTATTCTCCATGGCACAAACTTATCGCTTTTAAATTTCTATTAACCTGGACTTTAGCATACATTATTCAAGGAAATTGATAGAATCCTATTGATTTATGTTTTGTAGGTACAAATACTTGGCAAGTACATTCTTAACACATACCAGTGCCCGCAAGGCTTTTCCATGTTTTGATGAGCCTGACATGAAAGCCACCTTTAACATAACCTTGGAGTATGAGCCCCAGTACCATGCCTTAGCCAACATGCCTATGAAAGGATCACCAGAGACACTTGATGGTGGATGGATGCGAGCAACTTTTGAAGAGAGTGTCATCATGTCAACATATCTTGTCTGCTACATAGTTAGTGATTTCAAAGCCAAGTTTATGACCACACAAAATGGTGTTGAGGTAGGAATCTGGTTAAGAGTGATTATGTAATATGAAAAGTTTGAAAGAAATGTTTGGTTATTTTGAATTTAATCCAGAGAATTTATTCTGTTTCCCATTTTGTAATGCTGATGAGATTATTAATTATCGATAAAAAGAAATTGTTGGATGTGTGAAAAGAGTGGAGGAGGTTTTGAAATGATAGAGCTAGTGGTGCTGAAAAGCACAATTATGACCATGTTTACCTGTCTGTTTAACTGAACAACAGTTAAGAAGACTGTATGCCCCTTTCATATGCCAACAATTCAGGCTAAAACAATTTAATTATGTGTTAAAAGATTTGAATCTGTAATATTACATCTTTACTTCAGCTTGGTGTTTGGGCTCCAGAGGATTCAATCAACGAAACTGACTATGCTCTTCAGAAAGGAGTGGAAATTCTGGACTACTTTGATAACTTATTTGGATTAGATAACAAATACCCTTTGCCTAAATTGGGTAAGTCTTTCAGTTTAGATGCAACTTCTTAATAATAATTTATTCATTTATAAACCACAAATTTCATATAGATATGTTCAAATGCGCTGTACAATGAAGACATTAAGTGTGGAACAATGAATACATTTAAACATGATTGAGCCGATGGCATACTCGGGCAGCCGCCAAACGACCCAAATTCACCAACATCAGTAAAGGGGAGACAGTGAGAAGCAGTTACAGTTTTAGAGGCGGGAGGAAAACCCCAGAGGAATGTTCTGGGTAAAACCAATGAAGTCAGGTAGGGACTGAAAACCCAATCCACATGTGGACCGGGCTGGGAATCGAACCCGGGACCACAGAGGTGGAAGGCGAGGAAAAAACTACCTTGCCAACTTGATTCCAGCAGTATCTTACCAACGTGCATTTTGCTTAAACCCTTTCCCATACATGCAACTATATGCATCTACATCCAAATGTTCTGGATGGAATATTTACATCAGTTGTAGAAGACATTGTGTCATTAGATGTAGCTGTCTATAACCAAGGGCATTAATGAAATAGGATGTAAACAGATCTCATTCAAAACAGCAAATGGCAGAAAGCGGTGCTCAGCTTTGTTGATGTTAAAAACTAGGCCAGGGTTGATAAAAGTTGCGTCTCCTGACAGTTTTCGTTGGATGATTCATACATGTAGGTACATGCTATTACGTACACACAATCTAGTTGGACTGATGAAAGCTTAACTGTTTCCATTTTTATATCTTCTTTATCAGATATGATTGCCCTACCTGAATTGAATGTTGGTGCCATGGAGAATTGGGGTTTGATTACTTATCATGAGGAATATCTCTTGTATGAGGAGGGAGTGTCATCAGCAAAACAGAAGGAGAGAGTCTGTACATTTGTCTCTCATGAGATAGCTCATCAAGTACGTAAGGTCTAGAATTTTCACAGTGACAGTTTTGAAAACATTCACTCGGTACAGAGCAAAGATGTTACTTTTTTTTCTTGTTCCTCTATTTTTGCGGGGAGATAAACATTAATGTTGGATTTTTGCCCTACCCGACATGTATTTTAACACTGACTGCTCAGTGTTCAAGTGTGCTTGTGGGTTTTTCACAAGCCTTCGGGTCCATACACTGAGCATTCAGTGTTAAAATACACATCGAGCAGGGCAAAAATCCAGCACTAACCTTGTTCCCCATAAGAAAATATTTATTTGATTCCTGGACAAGTTTTCCCCTACCCTCCACTTATTAAGATGATTCCTTAATTTATAGATTTTGACCCAGCATCATGGTGCTTTTGTAACAACATAGTTTGCTGAATTGCTTCTTTTACACTTTGAACTCCTTTGGTTTAAACTAATGAAAGGAATGGAGATACAACAAACTCTTTTTAATCTATAAAAACATAGAAATCCATAAAAAGAGAATCTTCACTTTCCGTATCATTTAAACTTTCTTGTCCAGGAACCAATAGTTGTACAACATGTACTTTCTCATTTCATTATCTCATTTCATAACATTAAATTGCAGTGGTTTGGTAACCTGGTGACAGTTAAATGGTGGGATGATATATGGTTGAGTGAGGGATTCACCAGTTGGTTGGAGTTTGTAGGAGCTGCTTACGTAGAACCAGACTGGAAACTGGTAAGAATTGTAATAATTGTCATCAAAATTCTTGCTATAATGTCATAACATAAGATACATGTCCTACGGTACCAGAAAGGATTTGGTCATAAAATTGAGTAGACATGAGAATGCAACAATGCATGCACTAGAGCAATATCATATTGAGACCTGATGAGTTGAATCTGTGTAAGACTGATAACTGATCATTTCAGACAATACACGTAAGTCGATTCATGCTGAAATATGTAACTTGTACAAAGAAAACCTGCATTGAATACATTTGGTTGGCTCTATCAGCAGACTGTTTTTTGTTGCAGGTTTTGAAAGCATCATCTTAAAGGGATGATCCCTTGATTCCATTCTGACAAACATCAGCAACTGCATTTTTTTATTTTGGTTACTCTAGGCATTAAGTTTTACACTACAGTTGAGACAGTTGTTGCATGTAAATGACTGTTTTGGCCAAACTTTATAATGAACATGACGATTATTTTTCCTGACAGTGGGACAAGTTTGTGGCATATGATAGTGGAAGAGCAATGGAAATAGATGCAAAGACTACATCACGGCCAGTTATCAGCAAAGTACATCAAGAAGACGACTTAATTAATGTTTTTCACTTCATCGCCTATATGAAGGTTTGTGATCCTATTCCCCTTTTAAAGGTTAATAATTTTGATGAAGACATTTAAGTTAGCTAAATCGTGAGATACCTAACAGTTAATCCCATTTCCCTTCAGGTTAAAAAGCTTACATGTATATAAATGGACATTAGCCAGGATTTTAAGAAAGTCTTGTTTGCATTACAGCCAAATTGCCATTGATCCATGTTGGAAAACAAAATGGGGCTGTTTTGTATCAGTTGCAGTGAAAATGTCTCTTTTGCGTGCTGTAAATTAAACCTGCTTCCAGATTACGTTCTTAAATTTGAGTCTTTTTCCGTGAAAAATCTTAATTCAAGATTTTATGTAAAATTTTTTGTTCATTTTTAAGAGCTGTAATAATATTTGTCGTGTTGTAGGGTTCTTCTTTAGTACGTATGGCAAACCACTTTGTGGGTCAAGACACATTCTTGAAAGGTCTGAAGGTGAGTAGTAAAATAATTGTTCTGTTTTGTTTTGTTTCAGAATTATATATATTACAATTCAAAAGTGTGCAAGATCATAAAGCTTGATTTCAAAGCCCCTCATTAAACTTGCACAATATTAACTAATCATATTCTTTTGCAAGAAGTATTTACTTTGAATTACACATGTTATTATCCAGTAAGTTATCAGTAATCCCTATCCAGTGGTTTTTTTCAAGTTAAAAGCTACTATAAATATCTGTTTTTCCTTTACGTGCAGTAAGACTCCTTTACAAAAACGCATTATTGAACAAGATGTACACATTATTATGTGGTTAACTTTGATAACAAGACTTAAATACCTAGACTTAGGTTGTATAATAGAATACATTTTGTGCCTTTACATCAGGCATATCTAAGGGAATTGCAGTACAGAAATGCAGAGAACAGTGACATGTGGTATCACATGAACGAGGTAGGAAGAAATTCGTTTAATTACATTAATGTTTCAAGTAAAGCTTTATCTGTGATAGAACTGCTTAGTGTGGTCGAGTCTTGTGAGAATTAGAAGTACCATTATTGATGATATTAAAGATAATACCTTGCTCGTTGAACCTAATTTTTGTACAACACAGTTTGAAGATATGACTGTTATTTGTGAATTCAGGCAATAATGGAGGACAGAGTTGATCTTGGAGATGGCATAACTGACATAGCCACTGTCATGGACACATGGACCAATCAGATGGGCTTCCCAGTTGTCACGATCACAAGAACTTACTCTGGCGAAGCTAACAAGATCACTGCCTCAGCTACACAGAAGAGATTCCTGACAGACCCGTCTTCTGACACGACATCGCTGTACCCAGACCTTGGGTAAGTTATTGGCTTCTTGTCTGGAGAAAGGGTACCTATTAAAATCTTGAGTAATATGTTTCTTCTTTACAATGTAGTTAAGACTACGAATTTTGACTTCTTGTCTTGAGAGACTGTTTATGATTCTACCAGCAACATAATCTATAAACATCAAATTCTGTAAAGTTTGCACATGAGCAAGTAATGTTTTTGTTTTCCTGAAAAGCTTGGTTTGCCAGAATGATGACATATAAAGGTGTTGTAATTGACCTGTAGATACACATGGCATGTACCCTTGACTTACACATCTGGAGGTAATCCTAACTTTGTCAACCCTGAGATTCAGTGGATGAGACCAGAGGATCAGATCAGTAAGTTTGGCGTTTATTTTACTGTTCATTTATTTACACATGTTTGTATTCAGATCACCTTTTCATATCTGAAGAACTAGGTTATCTCCTCATCATATTGTATTCATAAACTTTTTCAAAAATGTTGTTTTATTTCACTAAATTCGACATAGCATGAGTCTGCACATTCAACCCATTATTTTCTAGTGGCCATATCATTTTGACACAGTAATATTTAACCCTTAACCCTAACCCGGAAGGGTGTATGTGAAATCGTATTGAAATTGGAGGATTTGGGACTGTTAGGGTTAACTGGTCAGTAGGCGCACCACATTTGAGATTATGAACCAAATGTGATGAATGTCCATACGTGAACTTAAGAAAAGAGGAGGATTTAAGTTATCCTGTCAAAGTAGTATATATAAATAATGACTATTTATAAGTAAAGTGGTAAGAATAATTTCATTTAGTGTTCTGTTTCACAAGGTTTCGACAATCCTGTTTCTTACCACTCACTCTAATCATTCCATGATAACCTATTTAGTTTCTTAAATGTCATAATCTTACCGAAAAGAGAAAATGTTAACAGTGTTTTTCATTTATCAGTATTGCTCAGAATACCGTTCGTGCAAAGATCCATGAATGCACCTTCAGCATGTACACACATGGGGTATAAATGTTCTCTCTGTGTGTGAAGAGCCGTGATGGTGTGTACCCAGCAGGTGTGCTGTGAGGCTGTATAATCCACGGTTATAGCCTACAGTCTTGCCGTGGATAAAAACCAAATAATTTATGTCATATGGTCTGCAATTTACTTATGACAGAGATTTTTTCAAATGTTGTATAATGGATAATTATCACACTGGCATGTAACCCCATATTGTACCCTGTCTCCTGTCATGTATTAGCTGAACTTGTATTGGACAGTGTTGGTGGGAATGAGACCTGGCTTTTGGTCAACATTAATCAGACGGGTTTCTACATTGTCAATTATGATGAGAGAAACTGGGCTTTACTTAGCGCTCAGCTGCAGACAGATCACACAGTACGTACCATTTACAAAAAGGAGTAAATGTTGGAATACATGTTGTATCTATCTCTGTTCTTATGTTCCCCTTTCTCCGTTTACTCATAGATTAAAAAACCTAGGAATAGAGGTGACAATTCATTAATTTTCTTGGTTTCCATTTTTCGTTCCCATTGAAGTCTTACAATTTCATGGTGCAGTTATTTGATATCTTCAGGCGATTTCAGTACCGACTCGCTCAGCCCTCATCTATGATGCCTTCAATTTAGCAAGGGTAGGAGAACTCAGCCAGACTATAGCACTGGATCTGACATCTTACTTGGACAAGGAACAAGACTTTGCTCCCTGGTTCCTAGTCAAACAAAGCTTGGATTATGTCAGTGAGAATTTAGCTTTGGAGAATGCCAATGAGAACTTCATGGTAATATACTTTCTTTGAAATGCTGTTCTTTGAATCTTTGAAATGCGTACAAACTGTTTTGCTCAGAAATGAAAAACAAGCTTAGAACTTATTAACTGACACTGAGGGTTTTTCAGTGTAATGTTTTATGACCGCACATTCCAAAAGTTCAGACATAACAAGGAGAGCAATATACCTTTGATATCATATGTATACAGTACGAGGTGAATACCTCGTACTGTCCTTCTTTGATTTGAATTTCTTTTCACGAATGCGCAGTAAGACTCCTTGTCTTTGTTTTTTTTGTTATGTTTTGCAGGAGTACGTGAGAAATAAAGTCACCCCTGCATATGAATACATTGGCTGGGATGATAAAGGTGGTTATGATGCAAAGTGAGTAGGAAACCACCAGGAAAATTTTTGTGGCCACAAAGAGGTTTAAAGGTTGATTAGAAGGGCATTTATTTGTTCTATTTCATGAAGTTTGTCATGTCTGTTGAAGTAACTCTCACGAGTAAATGAATATGGAGAAGCTGTGTTTGTTAGACTCTATATTTCCAAACTTTAATAGACCGACAACTCAATTTTTTTATTCAACCATCACAGGTGACGTTTGGGGATATAAATTCTTGTTGCTGTGGCTTACATGTAAGAGAAAATGATTTAAATGAATGAGCTAACACTGACTTGATTAAGCTTCATTTGTGTGATTTTTAAAGGTTGGCTCGTGTTGAAATTATTGGTGTTGCTTGTAAGTTTGGCAATCAAGACTGTGTTAGCAGAGCTTCTAGGCTATACGCTGATTGGATGATGACTAACAAAACAAACACAATGTAAGTTGCCAATAATATCAATTTTTCTGCCATGAAAGCTTCACCTAAACACCATACCTTCAACTATCTAGAAATTGTCACAAATAAAGATCAATTATCCAGAAGAATAAAGGATCTGTGACATGTTTGCAGTAGTCAATATTTGGCATTATTTATGATGTGATTAAATTTGTTTTCAAGACAATATTGGTTGTGCAATCATTTGGGAGGTAAAGAGATATTTCTGAGTCATTTCAGTCTCGGTCTTGGCTCAAGATCTTTATGTTTCTAGTTTTTGTGGTACAGTACTATCTGCTGTAAATATAACTTACAAACACACTCATAGTGATAAAGGCCTGGGACTGCCCCATTTTGGACATTTTGCCAGTAAAATTTGATATTTAATTTTGGTGTTTCAGGATTGATTCCAGACTTCAAGAAATAATATTCTGTACAGCCATAGCTGCAGGGGGGCAGCGGGAATGGGATGCGGCCTATACAGCTTATACTGACCCTGATGTGGAATCTTCACTCTGGAATGTTCTAGAAAATGCCCTGGGATGCAGCCAAAGTGAAACTGTTTTGGAAACGTACTGTGTTTCTCAAATAATTATGATGATGTTGAATATGACTATCTCCAAGAATGAAGTTTGGAGAATTAAGTATAGAGTACGTATGTATGAACTTTGAAGAATTGGATAGAGTCATTTCTACAATTTTTTGGAACCCAACCCAGTCTTTGGAATGTGAAGTGTCCTGACCCCTGGTCGTCTGTGTATTGTTGGATTTAAATAAGCTTGAGTCTACCACTTTATGTAAGTTTGTTCAAGGTGAAGGAGGAGAAACTATTTTGAGCTGTGGAACCTCAATTTATGTATGGATTGATAATCCATATACAAAGATTTTATGTAAAATATCCTTTTTATGTTATATGATCAGGTATCTGCATAAAGTCTTAAATACTTCATTGATGTCACCGTATGATGGGCAATACGTTATCTCAGCAGTTTCTGGTAACCCATTGGGAAGGACAATGGCATGGGAACTTGTTGCTGCAAAATGGGATTTCTTCAAGACTGTGTAAGTTGCCACCTACATGTAATAGTGCAGCCTTAAAAAAGTAAACATGCGGTTCTTTCGGCAGAAATAATGGCCTGAATATTTTTTTCTATTCAAAGTTATGGACTACAGGTGGTCCGGATGGTGACTTCAGACTTGAACACTCGGGCTGAACTTGAAAAGGTATGGACTTTAGGTTGCTTACTTATTCCTTCAGTATTCTTATCATGTTGTGATTTTACCTGGGTTCGTTAGCCATTCAGAAATTCAGTTGCTCTTTGTGTCAGATTTTGGTCTGATAGCATATGAATATTGTTCTTAATAGAAACATATTTTAAGAACATCTGTATGAGAGAAACCTTGTGGATAGGATGAAGAATAATATCCGTATTAAACTTACTGGAGAATGTACATGCAGGACAGAGGACAAAGAATCTGTGAAAGAACATTTCCTAACGTCTTGAAAAATGAAAATGAAATAGTTTGACAAGACAACATATGCAGTTGATCTTATCACATTAAACTTACCAGTACCCTGTCTCTCTAAGTTCTGATTTAGTGGTTTTTCTCGCAACAAAAGGTGAAGAAATTCCAGATGGAACATTATGCAGAAGGGAGGGATGTATTTGATGCCTTCAACAAGGCCATCTCTGTGATCAAGAACAACATCAGATGGATGGATCAAAACTATAATAAGGTAGCAAAATGGCTGGAAAAAACTTTGTATTAAGGGTGCAGTGCTCAGTTAGCCTGTCAGTTTCTTTGACAAAACAAAGGCAAGAATAAGTTTTATAAAAGGAGGTAGCATATTCTTTTAAAATTAGGATATTCTGTAATTTAAATTTCAGGAAAATGTAGTGAAATTTAATGGACTTCAAAGGTGCATTCGAAAATTGTCAACTTACAAAAAAATTGTATAAGATTTCAGATTTTAGATAAACCTTATAGAAGAAAAAATGCCAAGATTTGTTTCTCAAAAAGCCCCCTAGCCTCAGCAGAATTTCACCTTGAGTAAGGTTAGTGGTGTTGCAATCACTGCTCAAGCACACCTAAAGTATAAGAGTGTTAATGTTGATTACTTTTTAATTTCAATGAATGCTGTGTTATTGTCTTGGTTGGTTTTAGTTGTTTTATTTTGTTTCCGTCATTTACACAAACTTTTTCTCTAATGTAATTTAGTATTAGAAATGTGAGTTGAAGTCGATACGATGTTTTTATAATCTTTTTGGGGGTTTCAAGCCTTGAATCCAAACTGCGTGTTTGACAGTACCCTCGAAATTCATCAATCTGTAAAATACAGAATCAAAGTTCTGTAAAATTCATCAAAATAGAAATTGAAAATACATGTATAGTCATAGAGGTTTGGGTTATTTCAAATGAAGTAAATCAGATTTCGATTTTAGTTCCCCCTTCTATAGACGGAAATAGTTTAATGACCAAGAGGCTCATCATTGGAGCTGCCTTTCATTGAATATTTTATTTCCTTGCTATATATCAACTTATTACCTTTATCATGATTTGAGTTTATGTACGTTTTATTTTCAACTCGCTAATATTTTTATTTTGTTGATCTTATGCCTATCTGTCGTTTATTATTTCATGTCAGTTTTACACACTGTTTATTCTACTTTATTCGTTTTCATGTTTTAAATATTTGTCTCTGGCATTTGTCTGCCCTTACACAAAACGGTTATTTTCCTTTTATGCTTACACCTTTAAATCCTTATGCTTTTCCACGTTTGTGTTTTTGCTTTTTGTATTACATTATTCTAACTGTTTGTATTTGTGTGCCTGGAAATAAATAATACATGATAAAGTTTACATGATGAAAATAACGTCCCTAACCAGGTATACGGTACTTAGGCTTAGGGAGTCTTACTGAGCGATTCCAGAAATCTCTGTAAACATTTATTTTATGCGGTAACATGAAATCCCACTGAAAAATTATATGCCACCCGACATAAATCTACTTTATCGTTATTTAACCTGGAAGTGACGTTTACCAAAGTGCTTAATACTGCTTATACACCTTTAATCATGGAGTTTGGGAAGTACTGATGTGTGCCATTAGCAAACAGGTTAGTTTCTCTGAGAAAATGAATGCGGTAGTTTCTTTGCCAAACACAAATACGAATTGCAAAGGCATAGCACAAGAGACCTCGGAATGAAACGCCAAGCCTTCAGTTCCGTATGCTAGGTGACATACGGGGGAAGTAAACGTAAATCCCGAATACATGCAGTGCCACAAAGCTACGGGCAGAAGGCACTTGTGTGTGTTCAACCTATGAGCGATGCGTGTAAAGGAGCGCAACTATTATCCAAAATTTGTCGCAATTTTAAACTGGCAGTAGAGGCAAAGAAATCCCTTCCTGTTGGTTTCTGGGGTCCTGGAACCTCTTCCACACGGATCGAACGTCCTTTAATTTATTCAAGTGGCACCGTTTTCTTGTCACTCTTAGAATGCCAGGTGCTTAATGCTGCTGCTTACTGTTTGACCGGCCGTCCATCTGAGAAAATTCCGACTGGAAAGATGGAAATGTTACAAATTAGGCTGAACTTTGTGTTTTTATAAATTCGAAACTGTATCACTCAAACGGTCACTCACGATTCGGAACCCGAGATCAAGACCGGTCTACGCGCCTTTGCGTCCCTCAAATTTAAACTGGCCCTGTGATATACATGTAGGCTATAGCATCTCTAATTTTTCAGGGGTCATACTCTTTACTGAGTAGCATACACACCGGTGCACTCGATCGTTGGATGCCAGGTTGATGTTAACCACAAGGGGTTAAAGTTTGAAGCGGTACACTCGTACGACATTTCAAGTATTTACAACCAATAAAACACCACATCTACGCGACGTCGTTCAGAGACCACCAGGTGTTCGTTGAGCGCAGCGTGGGTCTCCTCTACACCCCTTCTGAACCGACAAATGTACAGTACGTAAGTCTGATTTTGTCGCCGTGAACGTCCGTGGGTATATTTCGGCTAAGTCACTTCTGTTTGGCAGTAATATTTCAATTTTGTTATAAGTTTGAGGAACAAATCAATATATAGGAATACAAACATGTATATACATGTACCTGTAGATACACGAACAAGATTCTGTAAGTTTACATCTGCTCATGACGGTGCTGAGAAGCCGTTCAAACACTTTCGAGTTTTCGGGTTTAGCCTTGTAAGGTTCAATCACTAAAGTTTCGATCTCTTATGAAGAAGCTTGCGTTGCTATTGTCATTTTAGCTCGTACGGCTAAAGAGATCTGATTGTAAGATCCCTTGGTTTGAATTGAATTGTGGCGTATGCGGGGGGGGCACGATGCCTCCATGGAGAACCTGTCGGGATTTTCATGGTTTCAGGAAAGTAAAGCGCCAGCATTTTAGAAACGATACTACTACGATTCTGCCGCGGAAATGATTTTTTCTATATATAATTATAAAATGTGGCCAGAGATTAGTTATAAATAACGAGTAACTTTTCTCAGGCTTATTTTAATTGTAGTCTTGTTTTTAACTGTGCGAATATATTGCGTGCAGCTCTGGCGACGCATGTCATTGCGGGCAGCAGCTGGCTGTAGGTCTTAGATGACCAGGGTTATTGTCCTTTAATATGCACCAACTGAATTTCTCAACCTGCCTGATTGGCATGCTTCCAAGCAGCTTCATTACCTGAACAAGAAACCATATGTCATCCAGTATGGCATCGAACTTATGACTGTCGAGCTAAAAAATAAAATAAAAACAACATTAACTGCTCCTTGAGACATGCATGCTGACATTTTCCATGGGCAGGGGAGTTGTCCCATCGTGTGTCTTGTTATCTTTTAAAATAACTCAGTGACAGTTTTGCGTCCGTGAATGGAATCTGACTAATTTTCAGTACCGAACTTTCCAACTGTGATCAAGAAAAACCACTTTGAGAAAATATTTGTCGCAAAGCGCAAATGGCTTTTATATAGGTTTTAAAAAATCATGTCTGTGGCTTTGTTCAATAGTACTTACTCCATGAACGACGGCTTGACCATTTTCTGCATGAATAAAAGTAAGTAAATGACAATAACGAGACTGCCCATGGATAATTGCTGTAAGTTGGCTTTATTTAATAATCATTGCACCTTCCTTGCAGGTGATGTAGTGCACACAAATCATCATGGGGAAGTACTTGGTCACTAAACAAGCGGCAGTCTTTCTGCTCTTGGCGTTTTTGTTAACGGCAACGTTGGTTGGACTTATGTGTGGTTTGCTACCAAAATGCGAAGACGTGTGAGTAATGGGCCAACGATCTTAAGGCCTATTTTCATCTTTTAAGTCACATCAAAATGTTCCCATGCTTGTTAAGCTTCAATAAGCCCATTTAAAGAAAGTGTTGCTGTTATGTCTTCCGTCACTATACAGAACAGAATTTGTTCCTACTCCCAGTCCTGTCAAGAAGCAGTGGGAATTTACTCGCCTTCCAGAGACTATAAGACCCATCTCATACGATCTCATGGTCAGAACTGATCTCACTAACTCCCATTTCACCGGTTCTGTTGGTGTCTTGGTGGAATGCCTAGAAGCCACCGACCTCATACTGATTCACAGTAAGGACTTAGTCATCACAGAAGGGAAGACAACCTTAACGCGGCAGGGTAACGGGGCTGATGCCCCCAAATTGGCTAAAGATACCTGGCTGTATGCCATCAACCAGTTCGCTGTAATCGAGCTGAACGGCAAGCTGGAGAAAGGAGCACGATACAGGTTGTACCTGGAGTTTGAGGGACCGTTGAAGAATGATCTACTGGGTTATTACAAGATGTCGTACAAGACGGCCTCCGGAGAAGAAAAGTAAGAACCCATAATAATCTCTCACTGAAGCCCCGTGTGTCAACGTTCACAAGGGGTGCATTGTCTTAGTTGAGAAGAATGTTGAATAAGACCTATTCGCTTTTTAAAGTAACTTTCAGGGAATTTCAAGAAAAAGACACCGTTTTAGGCCATTTAACACACAAGGGTGTGGGACTCGTTCAGAGGTCTGCAGCACAGTGGAGTGATAGATTTCATTAAATAAAAGGCTGGGCTTTCTTGTCACCCTACCCTCCAACGAGAGGCCTTGGTCCCATATTGTCTGCATAAAATATGTCTCAAGTAAAGCACAATTAAAATCGATTTAAATGAAAAATGATTTAATGTCGCTGCCGATCTTTATAGTCATAATATCTCACGGCAGGACCACACCTATGATTAGAACGCGTACACAACGAAATTGCACTATCATGGCGCATTATACCGGCCTGTTATCACACTTGCCTCATCAGACGAACTTTGACCACTGTCGTTAAATTTATCACTCTGGTTTGGTTACGTGTACATAACTCGACTTACTCATTTTTCATTTGTACAGCTTTCATGTGGAAAATCATTACCATTAGATTGAGTCTGTAGGCATATCTATGTCTTCTAAGATCTTGATAATTTGCAAACACTATTGAAGATTATGTTTATGTACGATGCTGTCCCTTTTCTTACCAAAAAAGAGGCAAATTTGATGATTACAGCTGTTACCAAACATTTGCGAGTCGAATGTAAAGCCTGGGATAACATTGGCATAATATTGAAACGGCCTGATCAACCTCAAAAGGCTTGGATGGATTTTGAGAAAGAAATAGTAGAATGCCCCATCGCTGAAGCACTGAATGATCCAAGAAATGGCTTTCAATGCACACGAGAGGTACGCAGTACGCACTGTTACCAATACTTAGCACAGTGTTAGTCTTGCCATTGTGCTTGGTACACGCTTTCCCGCGCAAACAAAATATGTACACTTCTAAACCTTGTTCTCTGTTCTATTATAGCCTACATTGAACTGTGACCTTATTTTCTTAAAGGCTCATCCTAATTAGCCCCTTTATTTTCAATAAAGACTTTATGCTGCTTTAAAGTCCATATTTTTTCTATTCTTGTAAATCGGTTGTCATGTTTGCACAAACCTGACTTTCGTACTGTTTGTTGACTTTTATCAAACATATCTCTGCGCAGGTGGTAAACTGACCTAATAAAAGTAATGAATGAAGTGCTATAGGTATCGATAATAAATTATGTCATACACTTCCCTCTTCATAAAGTGGCATTAATTCTGGTATTATTATAGAAGGGATCTGAATTCCTCAAATGCTGCGTACAGTGTTTGAATACGATAGCGTTATGCGCATTTTGGATTCCGTCCTGTGCAAGTATCATTCAAAACATCGAATTCACAAACTTGTCGCACTGACAGGCTTTACGGTCATTTATCACGAGGCGCCAGAGTGGTAATGCCACCAGTCATTTGCGACTCCGCTGAGATCGACTTGAGTCACAGCTTTAGTGACTCGGTTCAAGTTTTAGTCCCGACGGTGAAAAGACTCGACTCCAGTCACTGCGAGCAAATTTGCTATAACTCGACTCGAGTCATAAAATTAGTGACCTGTGATAAGTCCGCCAGGCGTTATAAACATTAGTTGTAGTTGGTAGCAGAGTTGCTGAATCAAGTCCTGTGACTTGGACTCGAATAGCTATTTTTGTGACTTGTGACTTGACTTGGACTTGCAAAAAATGACTTGCTGCCACCTCTGGTTGGTAGCTGTTCCCACATCAGCTTGTCATCATTTTGACGCAAACAATTTTGTCCTGTTTTCAACATAGATATTTAGCGAGTACATTTTTCGATCCGGTTGACGCCCGTAAGGCCTTTCCATGTTTCGACGAGCCTGCCTTAAAGGCAACCTTCACAATAACACTGGAGCACGAGCCCCAGTACGAAGCCATAGCCAACATGCCCAAAACTGGTCCAGACACAACACTTGGGGATGGATGGATCAGAGCGACTTTTGATGAGAGTGTTGTCATGCCAACATACCTTGTATGCTACGTTGTCAGTGAGTTCGAGGCCAGGTTTAAAGACACAACCAATGGCGTGAAGGTACCACATAATACGAATTACACTATTTTGATTGTAAACTATTGGGCATCCTTACCATTTTCTCAGTGATTGTTATTTTTTGATTGTTGAATCAATTGATCGTGATCCGTTTTCATTTTTAATTTGTGAAACTTAATTTGGCATGCACAAAGTGAGACATCGGTTCAATGCGTAAAAACTCCACTTAATGATTAATGATTTCCCAAGTAAGTTTTAAATGTCCATTTCTTTTTGAGTTTGGAGTTTGGGCTCAAGAAGATTTCATCGATCAAGTTGACTATGCGCTGGAAAAGGGGGCGGCCATATTGGATTTTTTTGATGACTTGTACGGAGAGAAGAATAAATATCCACTGCCTAAAATGGGTAAGTCGAGGTGTTGTTGTCATTATAATAGTGCCGATATAACCTCCTCTGGATTGTGTGTGTGTAAGGGTATTTTTTCTAGAACTGCAAGGTAAAAGTAACCCACTATAAATACATTGGGCAAAAGGGCTACATTGTGCTACAATACATACCGGTATTTTATGCCTCTTGTAGCGTAGCTGATATTGCTAATATTTACTGGATACTCACCCAGTCTTCGTTTATAATCTTGTTAGATGTTTATATTTACTGGGCCACTAGTTTCCCTCAACTTGCCGCCCCCACCGAACGACCAGGCGTGGTTTTACGGTGAGGGGGGGATTTAGCCCACAAACTTTTGTCTGGCCGCGCGGCACCGGCGTCCCTCTTAAAAGGAAAAAGGCTGGCAAATATTTGATTCGCAATTCTACATTTAATTTTTTTAATTAAATGAAAATTCCATGATCATTTGTGGGGTCATTGTGAGTAATGTCCATTTTTTGACTCCCAAAGTGAAAGAGCAGCAGCGAAAATTGAAAGGTGACGTCGCTTGCGAAGCTAGCCCCCCCCCCGACTTGGCGCACCTATGAACGACAGTCGCATAATTTTGTCAGCCGGGCTAAGGGTGCAGTGTCCCAATTCAAGGAAAATTCTCCGCCAGGCGGAGGCGCA